ATTATATTTCACCGGTACATCTCCTAAAACTACTAAAATATTGCTTTACCTGACAGATGTAAAAGACTAACGTTTTTTAACTGATCTCAGTCGCTCTACATTGACAGCAACTAATGGTTACAACCTAATACCATATTACAAATTACATAATCAAAAAATTAACATGTGAATTAATAAAATGTTTATTCCCATCAACCAAACATTTACTCTCATCCAACATGTTTGTGAATATATGACATCAACTCTGCAACTTGTGTACCAAAGTTTCCGCCAACTTTCCAAGTTCATCCAACATATGGGTGCATTCACGTGTATTTTCTCAGTCAGGAACTAATTTTTCGATTATTATTCTGACACCACATGAGTGCAGGGTGTGCTGTAATCTGGTGCCTGGGGGCCACTTTTGCAAAATGACAGGAGGCCAGGGGCCAGTTTCAGCAGCCCCACATAGGTCAGGTGTACCCCGGGGGTCGTTCAATGATTGGAGGACATTCGGGATTTAGCCTCTGTCCCTCTGTCCAGGGGATCCTCCCACGTTTATTACTATATATTCTCTGCCACAGTATTTACTCTAAAAGTACAAAAAAAATGATGATGCAGCTCTGCATGTGTCTTCCAGATGGGGCTGGAGAGCCTGAAGCAGGAGTATGTGCGTCTGGAGGAGAATCCCTTCACCTCAGAGCAGAAGTGGATGGCTGTTCGCTGTGTTCACCGCACCCAGCAGGTCAGTGTCTTCTCCACCTGTCATCAGTGGCTACGTTTACATGCGCAAAATATTACATTCCCAAAAGGACAATATCCGCATTAAGCTGTTTACATAGCCAATGAAAATAAAAATATTCCTCCAATATTATTCCAGTCGTCCACACTGATTATCACATCAAAATATGGCAAAGTGGAACAGCCGGAGCAGCTTGAACTATTTGAAATTCGTGCATCAAAATAGATTCTTACAAAGTTAGAACCAGTGGCCGACTGGTTGGACTGGTGAGCACAGCCTTCCTCTTTCATTCCTTAACCACATTATTCAAAAGTTGGCGTTGCGATATTTGTGTACATCCAAAACCTGTTGATATTAGTTCTTTCATAATGTTTAAAAGTGGCTGTGTTTGTCCTTTTGACTAGAAATGTGGGCTTTTCTTTTTGGCATGCATCTCTTCACCACAGACTTCAATCTGTTGGCGAGTTGTTTTTGTACAAAGCACAGAGTTGACTGTAAACAGACATGAGGCAGGGTGTCGCAAACTGCGGTGAAAACTCCAATTGGGATGCATGTTCTGAACAAACTGTATACTTGACCAAAGAAAACTCCTAAAACCAGAATAATATTGTTATATCCTGCATGTCTTAATCAGAAAACTTTACAGGATATCCAAACTGAATATGCTGTTTACATTAACTGTATTAAATTCTTAATAATTGTAGCATATTAGAGTGCATGTAAACACAGTCACTGATTCAGAGAGTCCTCAGAGAGTCCTGTGTTGGTGTGAGCCTCATTATCCCTCCCTCAGGATAAGCCTGGAGTTTACTTCGTGAAGGGAGCCTTCGAGCAGGTGATCCGCCTCTGCAGCTCCTACAACAGCAGAGGAACCACACTGTCACTCAGCCACCAGCAGAGGGAGCTGTACCAGCAGCAGATCAGCTACATGGGCACAGCTGGTCTCAGAGGTAAGAAAGACGTAGATATTTATGAGCTTGCTGCTTATTTCAACACACAGATGAACTGAGAGCACGTCTCTGGCCGTCTCATCCTTTAGTCCTGGCGTTTGCGGCGGGCTCGGAGATGGGGAACCTGACCTTCCTGGGACTGGTGGGCATCATCGACCCCCCGAGGTCAGGGGTCAAAGAAGCCGTAGGGACGCTCATCAACTCCGGAGTCGCCATTAAGATGATTACTGGAGATTCACAGGAGACAGCTGTGTCCATAGGTGAGAGAGAGGAACGGGCTTCATGATAAACTATCACAGTTTGGAGATGAGGAAAATAAACACCAAACATTTCCTCTCAATTTAAACTTCAAACTTAATTTAAAAGTTATCTCTCTTCAAGTTTCCTGTCTGTGTCTTCACTGTCACGCTGACAAAAACATCTTTACACTATTGTATAATTGTCGACCAACCCAGGCGAGATCTTTTCAAAATTTTCTTTTTTTCTTTGTTTTTGTTCTTTGCTCTTTGAATTTTCTTGCCTGTGTCTTTTTAAACTTTATAATGTAAAGCACCTTGAGTTGCCTCTGTGACTGGGATGTGCTGTTGTAATAAAGTTACCTTGCCTTGCAGCCAGTCGGTTGGGTCTGTACTCTAAAGGCTGTCAGTGTTTGTCCGGAGACGAGGTGGATCAACTCGACCTGCAGCAGCTTTCACACGTCGTCCCCAGAGTGAGAACAGCTTCACTTTCACACTGTTTATTTGTTGTTGTGTTTTTTAAACAGTCAGTCACAGTGCGAGTTAAAGATTGTGAGCAAATAAATATTAAGATTTATTCAGTTTCTCTCTCAACTCGGAGCTCAGTCTGGTGCTAAAAATAAACTCTCAGCACCTCACATGTGGTTTGATTCTGTCACAGTGAGTTTGTTAACAGGCAGAATGTAGTGGCACCTTTTTTCAAGTAAATATCACAGAACAAACTTTATTATTTCTACATGGGTTTTGTATTTTAATTAATGAAAGTCATCTCTGTCTCTACAGATAGATGTGTTTTATCGAGCCAGTCCTCGACACAAGCTGAAGATCGTCAAGGTGAGCTGGATGAAGAGAACACTCAGGGGTGAAGGATTGTGCGGCTCTTGTGAACTGCACAAATATGACAAAAAGAAACAGTGTAATTCTCAAAGTGCCACAAAGGGTAAAATGCACCTGTAATTGTGCTGCCAATCAAACAGAGTCTCAGTGCTCCTGTGCTGTTTCTACATATTTAAATTAGTTGATATGAAAAAATTCAGTGCAAAATTGGAAAATGGACTCAAAGGAAATTTAGAAAAGCAGAAGAAAGGAAGTAGTTTATCAGTAAGTAGGAACAAAGTTGAAGCACAAAACCCTCACTTGTCAGAATATAAAAATTAAAGTTCCGGTTCTCCGCAGTCCCTCCAGAACATCGGTGCTGTGGTGGCCATGACAGGCGACGGAGTGAACGATGCCGTTGCTCTGAAGGCCGCTGACATTGGCGTGGCCATGGGCCAGACAGGCACTGACGTCTGCAAGGAAGCAGCTGACATGATCCTGGTGGACGACGACTTCCAGACCATCATGTGAGTGAACGAACATGAGGAGGTAAAACTTTAAGGCTCCTTTTATAACTGCAGACATGAAGAGTTTTGTTCTCTGCCTCCAGGTCGGCCATCGAGGAAGGAAAAGGAATTTACAACAACATTAAAAACTTTGTCCGCTTCCAGCTGAGCACGTGAGTGGAAACTTGTGATGATCTCATAGACCATGATGCATTGCTGTAGATTAAACTACCCAACAGTTTATAAAGGAGTTAAAATGAGCTCAACTTGAAACAGCAGTGAAATATAAACGTACACATTAATGCAGCAGTGATATTAATCTGGAAACATCAGATAGAATAGAAAACTGCACTGCACATACTTTTACTGTAAAGACATTTAGCTGATGATGTAAATAAAGTTAAACACCCACCTGATGCTCCCTATCCCCCTGCTGGTCTCCAGGAGTATTGCAGCTCTGACGCTCATCTCCTTGGCAACGCTGATGAACTTCCCCAACCCACTGAACGCCATGCAGATCCTGTGGATCAACATTATCATGGACGGACCTCCTGCTCAGAGGTACAAGGGCATCATGGGAAGTGGACTTGGACTCAGGAGCTGCACAAGTGTTGCTGCCTTATAATAATAGTCCAGAGAAATGAAAAGCATTTATTATAAAAAATGTTTTGCACACAACACAACACCAAAGCATCAAGGGAAATTATTTAAAGTCTTAATTGAGGTTGGCACAAATTCATTTTCTTAAACGGTTCAGTTTAAATGAGAAGTGATATTTAGTTTTGAACGTTTAATAGTGAAATCAAATAAACACGCTGGTACACGACCGAAGCGTTCCCACTTTGATTTTATCAAATGCCAAAGCTAAAAGTTTGAGTGTGTGTTTTTTTGTCAGTTTGGGCGTGGAGCCCGTGGACCGGGACGTGATCAGACAGCCTCCCCGTAACGTCAGAGACAGCATCATCACTCGCAGCCTGCTCGTCAAAGTGCTGGTGTCAGCGCTCATCATCGTCTGCGGGACGCTGTTTGTCTTCTGGAGAGAGGTAGGTCTCTTTTCTTCTGACCATGCGTCTGGTTTCATCTGCTGAATCACAGGCTACGATGTACGATAGCTTCCCGTACTGAGTGTGCAAGGATGCTGCACGGGTTATTACTTCTTATTGCTTCTTGCTACAGGCAAGGCTTCTGCTGCCTCCATGGCGAACTGCTATCTGTCTGTCTGTTTGGGTTTAGCGCTGATCAGTGCGTCATTTCATGCTGCGTTTCTGTTGGTTGGTTAGTAGACGAAGGTGGTCACAGCAGTCACACAGTGAGACACATGATCTGTAAAAATATGTTTGTCTTTTGTGTTTCAGTTGCAGGACAACGTGATCACTCCTCGAGACACCACCATGACCTTCACCTGTTTCGTCTTCTTTGACATGTTCAACGCTCTGAGCTCTCGTTCACAGGTAGACACACCTGAGAGGTGCTGAGCGAGCGAGTATGCCAATATCTGCATCTGTCAATGAACAAAATTATCTGTGTCTGTCCTCGAAAGGGGCGGGGTTTAAACTAAATGTGGGTGTGGCTTTAACAAGAAGTTGTTATTTTTAGCCTAAAAATGGATTTAGGTTGATCAGAAGTTTTTATTTATTAGAAAACTATTTACAGAACAGCCTCAGGTTGAGCTTCAGATCATTTTCTGTCACAAGCTTAAGAGACTGAACACAGCGACCCTAATGAGGATTTTCTTTTGACATGTTTTGACACGTTTTACTTATGCATTTTACTATACTCAGAAAAAGTACATTATCTGCACCGGATACTCGTTTCATCTGAGTACTCGACTCAACCCCAGTGAAAAGGCTCCACTGAGTATAACTCAGTACTCAGTGACTGTGTGTTTGTGTGTGTGTGTGGTTTCTCCTCAGACTCGGATGGTGCACGAGATGGGTCTGTGTAGCAACAGGACCTTCTGTTACGCCGTCCTGGCCTCCATCATGGGTCAGCTGCTCGTCATCTACTTCCCTCCTCTGCAGAACGTCTTCCAGACAGAGAGCCTCAGCATCTTTGGTAAGAACACGTCACACCACACAGGGGCAAATTAAAGACTGTTGGGGAAAAAACTTTCAAATGTTACCTTTTTAAATAAGACCATGTATGTACATGTACTAAAAATGGAACAAGAACAGCTTTCAGTTTACTTTGTGTACAGGCGTTTCAGGTGTTTCAGGTATAATCAGCGTATAAATGATGTTTATCAGCCAGTTCTCCGGTATATCATATCACTTTTATGCTGACGACATTCAACTGTGTGTCTTGTTTTAGCCTGATAACACAGACAAACTGCTGTTAAGGACTGGATGTCAAACAGCTACTGACAGTTAAACACAGACAAGATGGAGGTTCTGATAACTGCTGTAGATAGTAGAGCTTCAAAGGTTGCTCAGGGTATTGGGTCCCTTTCTTCAGCCGTACTGTCAAATTTTAGGAATCATGTTATATTATTGACCCGTACTTGTTTTATTCAGCTATGAAATATTGCAGAGCTCAGGTCTGTTGTGTCTCAACCTGAGCTGGAGATGATGATCCACGCTTTAGTGTCCTCCCGACTGGACTACTGTAACTCTCTTTTTACTTGTCTAGACAAATCTTGTGTGAATCGTCTTCAAATAATCCAGAACACTGCTGCTCGGCTGCAAACCAGGTCCAACAGGTCGACCCACATCACTCCCATTTTAGTTTCTTTACACTGGCTTCCCATCAGGTTCAGGATTCACTTTCAGATACTTGTTCTCAAGAATAGAGCCCTCCACAGTCAGGCACCTGAACACATCATTGATCTCCTCTATGCATATATTGTCAGTAGGTCTGTTAGATCTTCTGGACAGGACAGACTCGCTGCCTCTCGCTCTAGACTCAAAACAAAAGGTGATCGTGTCTTTGAAGTCGTGGCTCCAACACTGTGGAGCTCTCCTGCTGTTGGTTTATTGTTTATTATCATTATTATAGGTTAAACTTCCCAGCAGTATATAAGGATCATCAACATCAATTATTATCATCCAATAATATAATATATATTGTTCTGAAATAAGTAACTCTACATGATGAGCACTTTAACTGACACTTTGCTGTCGTCCTGCAGACCTGCTGTTCCTGGTGTCCCTCACCTCCTCCGTGTGTGTGGTGTCTGAGGTCATCAAGATGGCGGAGAGGAGGATAGGAGCCGAGAGGAGGAGCCTGCCCTCCGACTACTGCCACGAGGTATGACCCCCCTCCTCCTCCCACCACACCGGCTGTCTGGGCCAAAGGACTCTGAGGTTTGGAGGAAGAAGAGGAGGATGAGGGTGACGAGTTTTAGGATCTCACAACCGATGGCACTGACTAATTAAGACTGAGAGGACTTGTGGGATTTTCCTCCTCAGGAGAAACTCTGGTCTGGGACTGGAGGAAGCTCCCAGCCTTGGGGAGGGGATGGAGGGAGGCGGGTTAAACTGGGAGGACAAGATAGCTGCTGGGAGATCTGACCCTGCTCTAAAGTGGAGGGTTTTTATACTGGTCCACAGCAGCTGTTTGTAGACTCCTGACCGGGACACCGCCACTGACCAACCACGTTTACTCCTCGTAATTTAGGACGTCCTCTTTAAGATATCCCTCTGGAGAGTCAAGGCTAGAGATGTGTGCAATTCTCTTCCAGTCCTCTTTTTTTAAATCTACTATTTAGAAGGTGTTGACCACTGTTCAGCTCGCTTTTCATGGTTGGAAGCGTAACTTCTTGTTTTGATTCCTCTATAGATGGTTTACAGTTTATCAGTGGAGGTGTAACGGTGCAACATTCACCGTTAAAAGTTTTCAGCTCAGCGGGGACAATAAATGTTAGGAATTATTTACATTGATTTAAGGCGTAATAGAGGCGCACAGGTACGGGAGGCGAGAACAGCCTTTTTTAATGCCGTTATCTCAACATCATGAGTTCATTATTTTGTTGCTTTGAAATAACAAAGCTCGTTTTCTTTTGACAAAACGCTGATTTATGCCGATTCTTGAGAAAACGAAAGGCAGATTTTTTTAGATAATTTATCACAAAAAGAAAAGTGACTTGTTTTCGAATTTCCCATGATCTTAAGAAAGCAAAAGTTGTTTTCTTGTGATAAATTAACTTATCTTGAGAAATCCACCGTAAAATTTTTAGAAAATCTCCATGAATCAGCCTGTTATCACGAGAAAACAAGCTTTATGATCTCCAGATAACGACATTAAAAAACAATCGTAAACACGGCCGGTCTGGGCTTCCGTACAGAGGTCTGAATATCTGCTGTAAAAAATAAAGTACTGAAACATTTACACATAATCAATTATTTAAAGTGTTGCTGTGTGCACATAAAGGAACATTTCACTTCACTTCGAGCATATAAAGCTTTAATTTTTTGTTTTCCTGTTTGGAAGTCTGTGACTGCCAATATTAAAAAAAATAGTTTAATCAAATCAAAGCTTCATTTTCGTAATCATAGACAGATTTCACACAAAGAGACCCGTCTTGTTATTGTGCAAATTTCAAACACTGGTTGTTGCACAACAGAAAGTCTGACTGACAGGTGCGTTTGAGTCGAGACCAGGAGTTTTCAGGCGAAGGACCCCTCAGCTGTAAGACATATTGTATAATATTAAATTAAGTTGCACTTAAGATAATTCTCTAAATATTTTTAGGGCTTCTCTCGTTTGCCTGAAGCTACGAAGTCAGCAGCAGCTGTAGCCTCACCCTGTGCACTTTCACCGGTGGTTCCTGAGGTGGACGGTGTGTTAAAGTTAAAAAACGATCCACAAGAATATCTGTACGCTCAGAATAATTACGAAAAATAAAAAAAGGTGCCACACACGTTAACTTGGCGTTAGCTAGCTCACTTGATAGCACAAGGATTCATGGGTAACAGCCTGTTGTTAACGTTGTGCACGTTTCATGAATGGGTCGATTTATTTTTGCTACTGATATGTTAGATTCATGTTAATGTGCATTTTCAGACACATTAAAAAACTAAATTAACACGCTGTAATTTGTCAGGCCCCCTACAGTAACTCTGAGGAACCCCTAATGAAGACCCAGGGTTTAGACCCAGCCCTGAGGAGAGCTGCTCAGCCTTGCAGACAATTTCCCCAGTGGCCACTCGCGGTATTACAACGAAAAAAATGCCCTGCAGCCCCAAAGACCATCGTTATAAAAGAGACGTCTGTAACACTGCTGACAGGACACCTTGAACTGCAAATATTCATCTCTCTATTCTGAAATTTTTGATCCATGAAGGTTTTATATTTGTTAAATTTTCCTCTAGCCGAAAAAAAGCCCTTAAAAAATCTGTGACATCATCACAATGTAAAGTCTATGAGCTCAGCAGGAACTCGCAGGCGAGGCCAGTGGGAGAAACACTACTGTGTATATTCAGTGAGCCACATAACGAGGAAGTAAGGCGAGCAACTCCACTGGAACGAATAGGCACCATTATCAAAGATCTATGGTCTAGACTGTTAAAAAAATCACATGATAATTTTTACCTGCTGAACGTTTTGAAAACTGAAAATGAATAAAGACATGTTGTTGAAATAAGGTAAAATCAAAGCGTAGTTTATATTCACGGTTTAATTTAAACATCCAGGTTGTAGTTTTGTTTCTGCCAATTTTAAAGATAAATAATCTGTTTCATATTCAATGTTTTTATTATAATGATAATATTTAAGGCAGACTGATGTTGAGGAGCAAACTGAAAGATTATTTGACTTAATTTCCATTTTGGCAGTACTCATGCTTTTTCAAACATGAAAATAAAAATTGGATTTTACTTCTTTTTGTATGATTTTGTTTACATAAGTTGAAAATTATATTTGTTGTCAGATGTATTCACATCAGGATTCAGCAGCTTGTTTGATTAATAAAGCTTGATTTTAATGTCGGCAGCCAGAGACGTCCTCGCTCTGACGTCTGTGATCAAACACTCCTCTGGTCCGTGTAGGACTCAGTAGTCTACTGTGGGAAATCTGTACGCCCCAGTTTACCAAATACTAAAATAACTTTTGAGAATTATGTTTGTTTTTCATTGAATAAAAGAAGCCAAAGTTTTCAAGTTTTTAATGTTGTTGAAACACGAGCAGCCATAAAAGAACTTTGTCTGAATAAAGATAAAATCCAGAAATGGTAAAATCTGATTAACAGGATATTAATCTGATCAAATATTTGATGTCCTGAATCTGCTGTCAAGAAAGACGAATCATGTTTGATGCAGATATTTTAATGTCAAACCATGTTAACACACATTTTCTTTTTGTTTTTGTTGTGTTTACTGTTAAACCTCCCAGACGTAAATGACTGTGGAGGCTCTTTGAGCTCTTCTGATTTCTGTTTACTAAAATCGACACTTTTTGTTTGGTGGGTTGTAACTAGACGTCTCAGGTCGCCTTCACATCTAAACTGTGTTGTCGTCTACTCTCGGTTCATTTATGATAATATTGTTATTATCCAGACAGAGCAGAAATCTTTTTGCTTTCTTTGGTCCGGACCAACTGAACCGAACCACAGGTGTGAAAGTGACCCGAACATTTCGACCCGTCGTCCTGTACGAACAGTTTACGAGGACTGACTGTGCCATTACACCTCCACTCTGCAGGCTTGCTTCTGTGATCCATATGTTTATGTTTCATGCTTCTTCCTAGGCACACTAGTTTATTTAAATTAAAAGGAACTCTGGTTTCAGTTGTACAGCTGATGGCAAACGCTTTTCTGTCATGTTTAAGCTCCGTCACACTCGCCACCTCGTACATACTGCCGTGTCTGTGGTGGCGAGCGGCGCCTCTGGCCTCACAGTGACAGTGGCTGGAGAACAAGTCGATGCTAAATGTGGAATCAGGCCTCAAAAACCACCAAACACAGCAGTGCTGACGCGGTCGCTTCAGGGTACAAACGCAGATACTTTAGTAACAGCGCTTTCTCATCGTGTGCCTTAGAGAAGTCATTTATCTCCACCTCGGTGGAGCGAAGCCCTTTACTGACAGAGTCTGTTCTGTTTCATCAGTTTCAGCATTTAAAAGTGATTCATAAAAAAAGTCCAAAATATCGACCTCAAGTTTTATTTTGCTTTTTTTTCCTTGTCTCATTCAGTCGTGATTTACACCCACACCCAAGCTTTAACAGTGAAACATGCTGAGATTTTGTTTCCAGATGAGCAAATGAGAAACGACAACAAAAAGACATTAAAGGACGTTTCCTGTTTTTACAACCTGAGTCTTATTTTAGTAGCTTCTCCACCATTTCCTGTTGCTTCTGACAATATCTGTGCTCCGAGATCTGTAGATGCGGTGACATGTATGCACACAGTATGATGTCTCATGGTTCTGATCCCAACTCAGCAAGTCTGACAATACCATCATCATAAGCTGAACTGCAGAAGGTTTTAAAGTGTCGTATAAAAAAAAAAGAGTCCAATAAAGCAGCACGAGCAGTCAGACAGGTTTGAAGTGAGTCCCACACTGACGGGAGAATTCCCAAAAGGATCGTGCAGCTTTTGTGGCGGCTAAACCTGCACAAATGGAAGAACTCTGTCAGAAACTTTAGATGTACAAGGTCGTAAATACCTCATCACCTGAAGCTGAGCACGGCAAACACAACCTTATTTAAATGCAGCATGTAACCATGGTGATTGTAGCCAAGGGAAGACATCGTCATGCCAGGTGTGTACCTGTAGCTCACGGTCTGACCAATGTCATTTTTACTTTAATTTATTTCGTTTACGGCTGGTTTGAACCCCAGGGTGGGGGAGCCCTTCTGTGTGGAGTTTACATGTACTCCCTGTGTCAGCGTGGGTTTCCTCCAGGTGCTCCAGTTTCCTTCCACAGTCCAAAGACATGCAGGTTAATTGGTGACTCTAAATTGTCCGTAGGTGTGAATGTGAGTGTGAATGGTTGTCTGTCTCTATGTGTCAGCCCTGTGATAGTCTGGTGACCTGTCCAGGGTGAACCCTGCCTCTCACCCAGTGTCAGCTGGGATAGGCTCCAGCTCCCCCCTGCGACCCCTAACAGGATAAGCGGTTACAGAAAATGATGTGATGATGGTGAAGATTTTATTCATTTTCCTCTTTATAGGACAGAATTACTGGATTTTCTGTGGAGAAAAAAGATCCTCTGTCACAGTAAACACAACAGACGGTGACACAAATCAATAGAAACTAAGATATTATAATTTACCAACTCAAAAATGTGTTTAAACGACTTGGCTAGTTGTTTGTGTGCACAGTTTATCAGCCGAGGAGATGAGTATGACAGTCTCTGTTTGGTTTACAGAATTTTTCTAAACGTGTTTTCACCCTGTTGAATTCTCTGACTGCTCCTGTTTTGGCTCCACTGGACTCATTTCTTCTTATTTTTGCTACAGGTTTTCTGTCTTTCTAGAAACTAAACTCAGGTTGTATAAAACGCAGCAGAGCCGACATTTCTCCCCCGTGTTGAACTCCCATTTCGGATCACGTGACCTCCATCTTGTCCTGCGTCTTCTTTCTCTCACACCTGTTTTTGAGGTCTCTTTTCCACTCCGCACAGCCACATGTGGTTAAACCCTGTCACACATCCAGATGTGCGGCTGGTTTCTCTGTGAGCTTGTACATTTCACTCTGTAAAATAACAACAGGTTTGTCTCTTGTCTCGTTGACATTCATAAACGCTTGTTATATATAACTTGTGCTTTCTGTGTGCGCTGTGTGTCGGGAGCTAAAGGTGTTTTCCTCTGGAAGCTGATTGGCTGGAAGGAGCTCACCAGGCTGCAGTCCAGCTGAAACAATTAGACGATCAACAGAGAATTAATCAGCAACTATTAAATAATCTTTAAAGGTTTTTTGTTTTTTAAATGCCAAACATTCCCCATCAGTCGCAGCATCTTAAATGTGAGGAAAATATAATCAGATAGAACACTGAGGACGTCACTGTGAGGTTTGGAAAGTTTCTAACGAATGATTTATTAAGAAAATATCAGCAGATAAATCAATAATGAAAATAATCATTACTTGCAGCTCAACCATTCTTGAGAATTGGGACAAATCCTGTCCAACAACAAAAAAGCTCTTAAAATTAGTAGTTTTAAAATATATATTTTGTGGAAATTTTGGCCCTTTAAAGATGTGTCCCAGATTTTTTAAATAACAAAATTTAATCAGGAATTAAAGGAGTTCACTGTATCACAATGACTCCTGTTTCACTTCCTGGTTTCCAAAAAGGTGTGAATGCTGCTCAAGTCCTGATAAACTTTATATTTTTCGATAAACGTATTAAATAATATTTCTATCAGGTGTGTCTCAACAATAACAGGCCAACTCTGCACCCTTCTAAATCCAAACTAAATGAGAATTCATGGAGAAATGTAAATCTCTGACTGAGGAGAAGTTGTCACAGCAGAGCAGGAAGTGCATTTCTGTTTATATCTCTCCTGTTGAGCAGTTACTACATAGACGCTCCTCTGTGGGCAGCCATGTCTGTCAGAGTCTCCCTGTTTCTCCATAAATGTCACAGATAATATGACGTATGAACAACAAATGAAATCACTGGCTGGTCGGCCTCTTACAAGTTGTAATAGTCAAGACTTTGATCTTTTAAAAGATATTTTTCAGCCTAATCAGAGAGCAAAAATCAAAAACCAAACAGTTGTCCCAGTTCTCAAGAATGAGTGAGCTGTCATCCAAATTAAAGTTGTTAAACACATATTGTGTCGGTTAAATTTACAGAATAGTCCAGTGAAAAATACGAAAGTGATTTTTTTTATTTCATTATTATTCTGTAATGTCTTGAGATCATTTTGCAAACGAAGCAGAAATAAATACCAGAAGTTTCCCTCAGCAGTTCATCGATTCTGCTGACAGATGAAACCGCAAAAAGCTTGATAATCTGTTTATCATCCTGTCTTTAGTCTTCATCTATGTTTTGTCTCATGTCTCTAATAAAATTTTTGGACAGAACAGTTTAAAAACGTCACTCTAGCTAAAAAAGAACAAAAAAACAACAACAGCATTTTCTGACATTCAAAGGAAAGTAGAACCAAAGAGTCTGTGAAAGTTTCCCCAGTCGACAAACAGCAACAGGTCTGATAATCATTTTATTGTTTCTGTCGTTTCTGGAGCAAAACTGTCAAAAACATTCCCGTGTTTCAGCTTCTCTGTGTGAGGATTTTGAACACGTCTCTTTGTTTTGTATCGTTGTGAACTGAATATTTTGACTGTTGGAATAAAATAAGTGTGGATATGAAAATGAATATGTCGCCTTCAGCTTTGGGGAATTATAACGAGCACTTTCCCCAGTTTCCTGACATCCTTGAGACGAAAGAATTCTTAAATCAATCAAGAAAATAATCAGAACGCGTTCGAGAGAGACGTCTCATAAACAAACTACAGCACCAAGTCACCAAGGAGCAGGAAAAAAAATCACACACAAAAATACACTAATGTACGTGGACTGATGTGTCCACATACTTTTGGCTATATAGTCTATCAGACATGTACAGCTGATTTTTATTTCGTTTGTTTATTTCTGGAACATCCATAAATTAATGAAGTGCAGCATCTTCCCAGTGACGCACTGAAACCAGTTTGAACCTTTAAAATATGTTACAAACATTTCATACATTTATTTAAGACATGCATATTCACTCTGTGGGACAGTAAACACTTTAACTTGAATATTTAATAAACAAAACTTGTGGAATTCTGTTTCTGATGCTTCTCTCTCCGTCGTCTCGGCTGTGTTTCCTCTCAGCACAAGTTTCATCTGTTTGATCAGCCGCAGATTTTTGTAACGTGAGAAAACAAAAATTCCACATGGCCACGAAAACAGAGCAAACGGCTGCTGAGCACCAGTCACGCCTCAGACTCACTCTCTTTATCTCCTGTTTTTATTTATGCTGTGTGTGTGTGTGTGTTTGTGGATGAGAATAAAATGTATATTAAAATTTTATAAATCTTCTAAAGACGCTCACTTTGTTTTTCTTCACATGTTGTCGATGCATGAGTTCACAGAGGCAGTTTGAGCACCAGAGTTTGAAGTTTATTCACACATCAAACATTAAACAATAAAAAAATACAATTCTTCATCATAAAATTTAACTTTTCCAAGTTTGTCTTCATTCAGTCCTTCACAATTACCTCACGCTGTGACATCTGTACGGAGTCAGACTTGTGTCAATATTATTTGTGTGTAAATCTGTAAATCTGAAACGCCTCACACCTTAAAAAAATAAAATAAAATTTGTAAACTCAAACATAAAATGGATCTGCACATACACAAATGTCACTGATAAAAGTAAGAAATCTGTGAATGCATTAAACTACTTTACACATAAATTTTAAGTATTTTTGAGTTTCCTCTGAACATTTACAACTTTCAGATACTTGGGAATCCAGTTTTATTTTTGAATCAAAAAGACAAATGTGGATCTCAAAACTCTGTGTTTGTGGATTTGTATTTCACAAACACAGAGTTTTGAGATCAACTTTCCATGAGTCTAAGCTCGTGATCTCCTGCTTATTTTGAAATAAGAACACGTTCTCACTCTGACCTCATCGCGTATCAACGTGATCAGCCTTACCTTTAGGTCTTGTCCCGCCGTGTTTCCCCCCGACGACCCGAACACTGTAAAACTATAATGGTGACCAGCTGCTTATCATGCTGACGTTAAAGGACGGATTTTTTTTGTCAGTGTCTGATGCAGCAAGTCGCTGCCCAAGCATGTATTTCAGCAACTTTGGAGTGACAAAGTTTTTTTTAATTTGTGGATTTTGTGTGTTTGCAGATCCATTTTATGTTTGCAAAATAGTTTTGTGAGTTTTCAAATCTTTTTTATATTTGCGGAAGGTGTTTTATATTTATAGATAACACGTTTGCACACGGACTGTTGATGTGTTCACAAATAATACTGAGACAAATTTATCGCCATACGTTTGTGTCATAGCTCAGAGGAGAACGAAAAATAATTTAAAGATTAATTCTTTAGCTTTTGATACAGGATTAAGACTTTTACAAAAAACTCAAATTTTTCAAATGTTTTAAAATTAAAAATAAAAAGTGCTGCTATAAACAGAACAGTACGGAAGCCGGAAACAGCGGCGCGAATGCCCCAAAAAATCAACCTCTTCTAGATGTTTGTGTCGTAGCACAGAGAATAATTATTCGAAGGTTAATTCTTGAACTTTTGATACAGGGATTGAAATTTTACAAAAGTCTTCAATTTTAAAAGAATATTTTTACCAAAAAAAAACAAACAAAACTATACGGTGGCACAAATGCTCCGAAAAATCAACCTCTACCAGATGTTTGTGTCGTAGCACAGAGAACAGAAGATGATTTGAAGGTTAGTTCTTGAACTTTTGACACAGGGATTATTGTTTTACAAAAGATTTTTTTTTTTTTTTTTTTTTTTAAAGTGCTGCTATATATATATAGAACAGTATGGAAGCCGGTAATGACGGCACAAATGCTCCGAAAAGTCAACTTCCTCTGGGAGAAAAAACAAAAAAGAGGCTCTCTCGCTGTGTAAAATTTGTGTTCTTCTTTCAAGTACTGATAGAAACAACAATTTGAAAAAATATATTGACGTGTAAATGCAGTGCATAAAAACAACCCCCGGAGTGTGAACGCCAGGAGGGACGTCTGAAGTCTTTGTGTCCAGAGAGTCCATGAACAGGACGTCTTAGCTCAGAGGAGGTCCCAGCCCCTGCACTCCTCTTTACGGGCCAGTACTGGGTTCTTGCACCGGTTGCTTCTCTCTTTGGCTCTGTACCGAGTTCTCACTGCCACCATGTCGTTTAGATGCAGATCCTCCTGTACCTGTAGCATGCTGTCAGCTTCTTTCACAGCCTCCTTGTCGCCGTCCCCGTACAGGAGGAACAGCTGCTGCAGGCCTACGGTCAGGTCGTCCAGAGGCTGCCGCTGCGGAGCCGCCGCTCTCTGCTGGCTGTCCGAGGGCGCTGATGCCTCCCGAGTGTAACACTGATGGACGACGGCCTGCATTGTGTTGTAGAGTTTCACACTCTTGCGATTGTCTTTTTGAAACAGCCTCATTTTTCCTCCTGACCTCATCCTATGGACCAGCTGGTGGACCAGCGTCCCCTTGTACAACCTGGACAACATCAGAGGGACAAGACAAAGATTCAACATCAGCTGGAGAGGAGTCAGAGTCATCACCTGGGTGAGGGGAGCATGCATTTGGTCATGTGTGTGTGTGTGTGTGTGTGTGTATCTGTCTGCAGCTAATCTCGCAAACTACTGGACCAGTCAGCCTCGTATTCTGTGTGCACATATATGACCATGCGCTGACGGCCCTCTTGTGGTCGCAGTGAGTCACAGTTGTTGAATAAATATTACAGATATACTGCACACCTTTTTTAATTTGTTTTATTCTGAAAAATAAAAAAATAGATTTTTGTTCTCACCCGCTGCCCGCCTGCATGGAGCTCATTTTTATCCACGCTCTTTGATTTTAGATATAAAGAGCTAAACCAGAAGGCTACGCTTTTGATTTCCTGGTCCATCTCCGTCCCAACCCTCACCTATGGTCATGAGCTCTGGGTAGTGACTGAAAGAATGAAATCGCGGATACAAGCAGCCAAAATGAGTTTCCTCTGTAGGGTGTCTGGGCTCAGCCTTAGAGATAGGGGGAGGAGCTTGTGAATACAGAGGGCGCTCGGAGTAGAGCCGCTGCTCCTTCACATCGAAAGGGGTCAGTTGAGGTGGTTCAACATCTGATCAGGATCCTCCTGGGCGCCTCCTGTTAGAGGTGTTTTGGGCACGTCCCACTGGTAGGAGGTCCCGGGGCAGACCCAGGACACACTGGAGGGATTATATATCTCATCTGGCCTGGGAAATCCTGATTGTAATGGAGCCAGGAGGTCCAGCTGTGACCTGGTTTCATTCTGGCCTCCGCACAGAGCACCAGATTTTGTTTATTTTATCATTTTTCCTTGATATATGTGCTGCTACTATCAGTATGTGAGAAGGCTGTGTAGTTAAATGGGTTTTTTTGTGTCTGTTTTAATTGTGTTTATTGTTGTGTTTTCCTACTTTGTTGTGCTGCAGCCTACAAACAAAGTTAAAACTGTTCAAAGTCCAGTTATGAACGAGATGGATCAACGATTTGTGGCTGTGGTTTAGCTATTAAAAATACGATCAGCTTGGGCGTGCGCCTGAGTGCACCTCTCTAGTTTTAGTTTAGACTTTAGTTTAGACTAACTTTAGTGAGTGTTTTGGGTTTGATTGCTGGTTTCAGTTGAGTTCCAGTTTCAGGTTTTCAGGTTAAATAAATGTAGTTGAGTGCGGTTCGAGCAAAGTTTTCTGGTCCTGTGGAGACTCACCTGGCGATCTGAGGAGTAGGTAAGGGGGAGCTGAGCACCTGGTTCAGCTTGATGCTGACTGAAAGGCAGGTCTTCCATTGGTTGAAGGCACTAGCCACGCCCACGTCCAGGTTTGGTCTGCGTTGAATCTGAATCTTGAGATCTGCAATACACACATCACACTGTTTCTAAAAATGTACATGAAACAATAAACTGAGTAAATAATCATCTGCAGCCTGAAGATGAGAATTAACTGTATATTCTCGACACTGTTGAGACGCTGTATATATATATCAACTTATACAAACACAACCCCAAGTGCTTGACAAAGCAAATTTAAAACAACGCAAACAATAAAAACAAAAATAAAAATGATCAGTACGATTCTGTAAGACTAAAGATCACAACAACAGAATGTTAAAAATTAATAAAGTCAATAAAATAACAAACACCGAAGATAAAAGTAAAAAAAAAAATCATTTAATTAAAATAATAATTGCACAATAAAAATAGGCATAAATAAGACTGTTTACAAATGTATCCATTAATCTATAAATAAACATACTATATCACAAAGTTATTAATTATCTTATATATTTTAATGGGCAACATATTTGAAGATGTCATTGTAGAAATGATGACGGACATTTTTTTTTAAATTAACAGACCAAACATTTTGTTTAAATCCAAATTAATAAGAAGATAATCTGCAGATTAATTTGCTATAAAAACAGTCATTAGTTGAAGCCCTAATGGAAAAGATAAACGTTTTAAATCCTCAATTCATTTTTATTAGATTTTTTTTTTTTTTTTTTTTCAATAATTTATTTGTTGTCGGGTTCTTCAAATTTGGCACAAACGTCCACTTGGACTGAAGATTAAACTGATTAGAATTTGGTGGTCAAAGGTCAGTGTGACCTCACAAAACATGTTTTCAGCCATAACTTACGTTTTCTTACACTAACAATGACAAAGTTTCACACAAATGTTTAATAGGATAAAAGGTCAAAGGTCATCTTCACTGTGACATCATAACATTCTGCAAAAACACTTTGCTGGCCATTATTCAGCGTTACATCTCAGGAACAGAAGGAGGACATTTAATGTGAAGCCTGAAGACGCATTGAACCGTGAGACAGTAATCCCAGTCCATTATTTTCATTTTGTGAATTAAAGCTGGAACTGGAATAAACCCAGATATCAGTTCAGATGGTAACCTCATGTGTCATATGTGTTTGTGTTCATACCTGCTCTGTGTCTCGGTGTGTCTCCAATACTCATTCCCAGCAGCAGCGCCTTCAGCAGCGCATCATCAGGACGAGGCTGAGCTCTCTGCAGCCAGTAGCAGGTGGCGGCCACCGGGAGGCGCAGCTGAGGCGGCAGGCAGCTCAGGGAGGCCTCAGTCACCCCCAGAGCATCCAGTAACACTTGCAGACGCACACAGGGCTCCACCTGGGGACGAGTAAGAGTTAATGTGAAAAAATGTAGCACGATTTAATGTAACTTTAGCGCAGCGTCTGCAGTGATGTGGGCGCAGTGCTGCACTGTCGTGGTGAAGAGGGAGCTGAGCCAGAAAGTGAAGCTTTCGATTTACTGGTCCATCTCCGTCCCAACCCTCACCTATGGTCATGAGCTCTGGGTAGTGACCGAAACAATGAGACTGCAGATACAAGCAGCCGAAATGAGTTTCCTCTGTAGGGTGTCTGGGCTCAGCCTTAAGGCCCAAACATACTCGGGCGGAACGTACGCGGAGCGGACTCCGCGGAGGTCCGCCCGGACTAAAAGTGGATGTCCGCAAGCCCTGTGCGCGCAAAGCTCAGATTTTACGACCGCGCGGACTCTGCTCGGCGCACCAGTGTCACACAAAAGACTGCTCGGCATGTATTTTTCACATGGCGGGGATTTTTCACGGACATTTTTACAGGAAACTACAACGCGGAAGCGCACTCAACTATGGAAGCCCGAATGACTGCGGACATTCCTCACGGAGTCCGCTCCGCTTAAAGTACGCCCGAGTCTGTGAGCACCTTTAGAGATAGGGGGGAGGAGTCAGACATCCAAAGGGAGCTCGGAGTAGAGCCGCTGCTCCTTCATGTCTAAAAGGGTCAGTTGATGTGGTTCAACATCTGATGAGGATCCTCCTAGACCCTCCTGTTAGAGGTGTTCTGGGCACGTCCCACTGGTAGGAGGCCCTGGGGCAGACCCAGAACACATTGGAGGGATTATATCATCTGGTCTGGGAACGCTTTAGGATCCCCCAGGAGGAGCTGGAAAGTGTCGCTGGGAAGAGGGACGTCTGGAATACTTTGCTCAGCCTGCTGCCCCCAGATCCAGCTTCAGATAAGCGGTTGAGGATGGATGGAAATAAGTACTGTCAGTGTTCGAGAGTTTGACACTGTTGATTTTTGTAAAATTTAAAGAGTGATTTTGTGGCCGGGCTAAGGACATGCTGTCCACTGCACATTTAACTCCCTGGTTAAGCTGCAGAGCAGGTTTCCTTTGGGGGGTTGTTAGTGTGGTGTCAAATGTGGTTGGAGCAGTTGCTTCAGGAACAAGTCAAAAGCTGCAGGTGGGTCGCCAATGGCTGGTTGCTTCACCAGGCTTGTGGGCTTTAGTGTATAAATACCCACTGCAAGTAGCTATCTGAAGACTGTGGAGGAGTTAAGCTAGTTTATGGCCATGCAGTTTGAGGTAACCGCTCTGATTTTGGTTTCTTAATGTGCATGAGACATCAGTCTGTGCTCCTGTGCTAGTGTGTTTTGCTTTTCTTGTGGATCTCTAGAGGATTTGTTGGTGCATTGATCGGGGATGACTGTGAGCATCAAACTTGTGATGTTGGTTTTTAGGAAGACAGCTACGAGTTTCACTTTCATCTGCTAATTTACCGGTGAGTCTCCTTATGTTGGTCCAGCCTAAGAGCCGGGCTGTGATGCTGTGTGCCAGCTCAGGTCCCAATATGACTTGTTTTTAACCATTGGTCGTAATAAGTCACGTCAGCGGACAGTCTGTGCACCTGAGCAGTCCAGCTCAGTCCAGCAGTGATGATGCCCAGTTTAATGTGATGATTGTGTTGTGTAAGTTGTGTAGTTCCTGCTCATGTTGTATCATTTATGTGATGAAATTTGTGTGTTGCCTCACCTGATCCAATGAGTCGAGTTTCAGCTTCTTAGTGACCACTGTGACGACAGCTTGGACTGGGATGAATTTAAGTTGGAGGCCGTCTCTGTCTCTCTCCGTCACCTCCTTCCCTTTTCCCAGCAGCAGCCCGTACAGCAACTGGCGGAGCGGCCTGGAGATCAGGTGAGAGCTGGGCATGTCTGCGTGGTCCACGGGGAAACTGAAGCTCATCCTCCGCAGTAGAAGCACGTCCAGGATGTCTGGACTCATCCGGCCTTGTGTCAGCGGCAGCCGGATCCAGTATGGGACACGACTCGCCACCTCCAGGAGGACAGGACAGAACAAACTGAGTATATTTATTCAAGTGTACGTCTGTACTTTACTGAACAGGTCTGAGTTTCTTCAGTATTTCAGTGTTAGCAGATTTTCTATGTTACCTCCATATTTATAACATGGCTATAAAAACATTTTTGTTTTCACCAGGCTCAGATCAGGGCTGCAACTAAATTTTACATAAATTATGATTTATTTTTCAATGCACCCATTAATTTAGTCCATTAAAAACATCCATCACAAGTTCCTACAATCTGAGGTGATCTCGTACGTACTGACGGACTGGAAATGTACTCCGCCCCATGGTGCCCCAAGCAAACTTGGACAGGGGTGTCTGGGCTTTGCTTCCCCTAATTAAATTATGGTGATGTATTTGCTCCACTTGCTCCGTTGCTCAGGTGCCTACGGCCCCAACCAACCCCCCAAAAATAAACCTTTAAAAGTGATGGATTTTATTACCTCTTCCACTGCTGGGAATGGAGGTACCACCCCATGGATGAAGAACCTCTTCAGGGAGCTGGGAGGGAAGTGGTACTCCTCCATCCCCAGATACAAGCCCTTCAGCACCTCCGCCTTTCTCTGCTTGCTCAGCTCTCCCATCAGCCCCAGCGCTGCCTCAAAGGCCTCCTGAGACTGGTGGAAGCCCTTCAGCCAGCAGAGTAGCCCCTCCAGGTTGCTTGCTGTTGCGCTGTCTTCTGGGGCGAACTGAGCCCAGGTGATGCGTGACTCCATCCTTTGCAGCTTTACATAGTCATTCCCAGCCAAGGCGGCAAAGGCAGGCAGGAGTTGGTGCTGAATTTCAAAGACAATGCAGAAGCTGGAGGTGTTGTAGCTCTTACAGCGGATGTAGCTCTGCGAGCCACTCTGCTGCACCGTCTCCCACTGGAAGTTAGAGATGGGCAGCAGCCCCGCCGGGAGGTTGAAGATGTAGAAGTCACTGTCGTTAGAGAGCACCGGGCAGTTCCACTCATAGGCCAGGGCGGCAATCTCCTGGTCAGCCTCTCCATAGCTCACAGCCACCGGGACCTCCAGCCGATCAAGTGTCTGTATGAATACCAGCTTAGCCAGTAGTGGCAGAATGCCCGCCCGCCCAACACCCTCCGCCACTTGATGGGCTTTCTTGATCCGATCCCTGGCTCTTTCAGTCACAGTTTGGAGCTTCTTGTCGGTGTGGTCTGACCCTCCGTCCAAAACCACGTACGGCGTGATCCTGCAGTCTCTGAGGGCTTTGACGAAGTTCTCAAGCAGGTCCTCAAACGCAGCATATTCCCCGCCATGATGTTGGTCCAGACCTGATAAAAACAACCAAAGGAAACACAAGGAACAAACACGTTAGTAACAGACATGCATCCTGCTCGTTACCTGGTTTAACCATCAGCACTGAGTAGGACGCCGCATCAGTTTGCAGCGATGCAGGTGCTGCGCCAGAACGTCGAGGTGAAGACGGAGCTGAACCAGAAGGTGAAGCTTTCAATTTACTGGTCCATCTACGTCCTAGTCTCTCTATACAGACTCTACATTCAGTGAATGTAGAGTCTGTAGGCAAACTCCGGAGAGCCCTGGTTTCCGGTTGTAGGCTGTTTGTAGTCCGCGTGATATTGACCAATCACGTTTGAGCCGGCTGCAGTTGTTGCCAGGTTAAACGGTCCGTGCGGTGAACTAACGAGGCGGAACATAATTGGCGTCACTGCAAACTCTGAATCCATTGCAATGTTTCAGCATATTTACTTATATATGAACGGAAGTCTGAAATGGAAATTCGCCTCCTCCGCCCAAATCAAACTGGAATGCCAAAAAATCAGGGGTCTGCCCCAGAGGCTGTATCGCCGTCTGCCAGAAGTCAGACGCTGAATACAGCCGATGGGTTCCGAGAATGTCTACGTCCCAACCCTCGCCTATGGTCATGAGCTCTGGGTAGTGACCGAAAGAACGAGGTCACAGACAAAATGAGTTTCCTCTGTAGGGTGTCTGGGCTCAGCCTTAGAGATGGGGGGGGGGGGGGGGGGGGGGGGGGGGGGGGGGGGGGTCAGACATCTGGAGGGAGCTCGGAGTAGAGCCACTGCTCCTTCATGATAGAAAGGGGTCAGTTGAGGTATTTTGGACATCTGATCAGGATCCTCCGAGGCGCCTCCCGTCATAGGTGTTCCAAAAGTTAAAAGTTGAAGACAAAATCCTGGAGTTGAAACAGTCTCACTCTTGTCGCTGGTTAGTTCGTGCAAACGGTTTATTTTTTGGTCAAATTTTAAATGTCGAATAAAGTGATTTTGATGAGATGTTACTAGTTTAAAGTCAGATTTGTTTTTGTTGCACATGATGTGTCCAAGGACCATCGGAAACGTCAAAATCCAACAATAATTTCTGTTTTTATAGTTACGGTTTAGTGGCCCTTTCAACATACCAAAGCTCCTAGGCCACTTAGTTTATAGTGTCTCGGTTTTGACTCGTGTTTCTGTTCCTTTTCTGGAGATCCACAGTGCTGACATGAAGCAGGGACAAAGGTGAACGAGGTTTATTAAGAACAGGCTACAAATAAAAGAATGAAAACAAAACGGCAGGACAAGACCTTCCTGTATTACCTGTTATTACACTTTAACTCTGAGTAACACGGTCAAAAACTTGTTATGCAAAACAGCACAAACTTCACGTCATCTTTACGCATGACGTTGTCCACAGTTGTTGTGCTCACTAAACTGCATTATGGCACCAAACCTGTCATAAAATAACTTGTGCATTCTAACACATAAATAAAGTAAATATAACCATAACCTCGGTACACTCAAATATCGTCAGAACTGACATGTTATGTCCAGGGGTGGAAGTAATGAATTACAAATACTCACGTCACTGTAATTAAGTAGATTTTTTGGGTACTTGTACTTTTATGAGTATTTTTTTCAAGTGTGTAATTTTACTCATACTTGAGTACAATTTACACCATGTAATCTACTTCGCTACTTTTAAAATCATAAGTCGCTACTGAGTACGCCCACAATTTGAATTAATATTCAAACCTTTCATCTGCATCTTTGTAGCCAATAAGGCTGTCCGATCGCGACCGCGCCAGTTAATCTATGACGTAAGGAAAGGACAACTCCGCTGCAGCAGGCACAGGTGTCTGGCGGTAACATACCTACACAGCGGAGTAGAGACTAATTTATGGACTGAAGATTTGGAGACAAAGAAGCCAAGGGTGAGTGTCCATGCGCTCCGCGCAAATCCCGTGAGCTCTGCGTCACAACATAATGGCTTACCGGCGACAGAGAAGTCCTATTCCAGGTCCAGTAATTTCCTCTTTCATTGGTGTCATGACTGCCCAGTAGTACCTGGACAACCAAGCCGTGGCGGCACACTGTAGGTGGCGTGTCAGAGGAGAAACGAGCCGTTCACATTTCTCTCTTTGTGGCAGGATTGATGTATCATAGAAAAGTGTTTTATCTTCTTATAAATGACAAAAGGCATATCTGCCTCATTTTCGCTGTGGTATAGATACAGTCAGCAATGACGGGAACGCCCACAAAAGTCACATCCGGTTAGAGCCGAGGGGGAAAACAAACTGGTCTCTGCCATTAGCCACAATGCCGAAGAGTTGCTGTGTGCCCTTTTGCACCGCAAATAAACAAAAAAATCACCAATTAAAGTTTTACATTTTACCAAATAATAAAACGGAACCACAAAGGAGGACAAAATGGCTTCAAGCTATCAGAAGAGAGCTTTTAGCTTTGCACAGAAACAGGCAACAGAAATGTCCTTCAGAGGGCTAACGTTATATTTTATTTTATGCTAGGAGTACATTTCAGAGCCAACACTTTTTTTTTTTTTTTTTTTACATATACCGTACTCAGTAAAGAACTTTAATCAGTACTTCTACTTTTACCAGACTTTTGTACACAAGTATCTGTACTTCTACTTAGGTAACGTTACTGAATGCGTACTTTTGTACGTGTTGCGAGGAAATCTACACAAATTACAAATGTAGTACAAAGTTCACTAGCGTTTAAACAATTAATCTAATATTCCTGATACCACTGACATAGTCTACGATTGTTTGGAAATGGTTAACATTACATTAAACTTACCTGAAATGAAGTGCTGACTGCAGACATACACATGTTTTGTTGTTGGGTCCCATAATCTGCCAAACTCGTCCTCTCTTCTGATAGCTTGAAGCCATTTTGTCCTCCTTTGTGGTTCCGTTTTATTATTTGGTAAAATGTAAAACTTTAATTGGTGATTTTTTTGTTTATTTGCGGTGCAAAAGGGCACACAGCATTGTGGCTAATGGCAGAGACCTGTTTGTTTTCCCCCTCGGCTCTAACCGGATGTGACGTTTGTGGGCGTTCCCGTCATTGCCGACTGTATCTATCGTGGTACTACTCAGAACCGTGATACTTTCACTGGTATCATACCGTGGGTCCCAATTTTGGTACCGTGACAACACTAGATGTCACAACCATTCCATTCAGAGTCGCGCAGTGAGGCGGCTCGGGTGCCGCTTTTGGGAGTGGGGGAACACTGCTTTCTCAGAGGCCCAAAGTGTTCCCCTACTTCTAATTTTACAAATTAAGCACTGGTTATTAGTTTGGCTAAGTCTGCAAAGTTATTGTCACTGCCAATGGTTTGCCTGATAATAAAATAAGACTGAGCTAGCTAACGTGTGCGCGTGCCTGCATGCATAATTGAGCTACAATTCTTAGAAATGTTTTAGCTTAATATTTGGACAACCACCGTCATTACAATAAATTAAATCTGTAGTCATTTAATACTCACAGGCCTACTCACAGGCCTATATTTTGTGCTAGAGTGATGCTATGTTATATGAAACATTAACCATGAAAATTAACCATGTCATGTTAGCTTGTCGGTAAGGGGGGTAAATAGTGCTCCAAATTCAGGCTAACGTTTAGCATGGAAAACAGGGCACGAGCAAGGGGTCCCTTGTTCTCTTACTTCAAGATACCTGACTGAAGATGTTTTCGTATGATAAGCGTGACCCATTTACAGACACATCCACTTCACTCTAATCCCTTGCAGTTTGCGGTATTTATGTAATTTCACCTATTCTATTTTATTATTCTGCTTACTCGGCTGACTGGAAAGCTGTGACTACTGTGGAGTCAGTGAGCCCCATGTATTCATGTGTGTGCCATTCAGTGTCAGAAATTAGCAAGGGCCACGGGCCATTTGGCCCGCAATTTATCCAAGAATGCCCCCAAAAGCCATGTTCCAGGGGCCAAAATTGCCCCCAGGTTTTTGAAACAACTATATGTATTTATATTTTTAACAGTATTACAATCTGACATTAAAGTATAATTTTATTTTCATTAAATTAATTTACCGTCACGTCTACAACTCATTTTCCAGACATAATCAACAAGATTGCACTGATTACGTGACAGTAATCTGACAGAGAAGGGGAGGGGGCTTTGCTGTACCATAAGTATAAATTAACCATTTCTTGGGTGATCTGTGTCGACACAATGACAAATTAATGAAAAATTAAGGTAGAATGAATGTTAAATTTTAAATTAACTTACTTCCAGGATTGCATCTAAGGAATTTATAGTAATTTGGCCTTTTTAACAGTAAAAGTAACTGTAATGTGGTGAAACATTAGTACTGCTATCAGTAGATTAATGGTTAAATCATCACATTTAAACTGGTTGAATTATAGGAAATCTGAGTGATATTTTGCAACCATAACTTTATGTAACCCATTATTTATTTCATTTATAGTGGTTTCTACTGAAGAGTGAAGACACTATCTTAGTTGGTTTTGCTTTTCATGTGCTTATTGTTAGAACATAATTACAATTTTTTGATGGCCCCCAAACATTTTGAAAATGCCCCCATTTTTTAGACCGTGGGGGCCAAAATTGCCCCCAAAATATTTTGTTAATTTCATACCCTGGTGCCTCATAATAGTCATCATTGCAGTAATTCCACTGAGCTGTTTTTGATACTTTATACAGGTGAATCCAATCGAATGGCTGCTATTGACGACACAATAAAACATCCATCGGTTAAAAGTAATTAATACTCTGAGTAGTTTTTGAGAAGAGTACTTTGTACTTTTACTTAAGTATTTTTTAAACACCAGTACTTTTACTTGTAATTGAGTACAATTTAAGCAATGTAACAGTACTTGTACTTGAGGACAAATTTTCAGTACTCTTTCCACCTCTGATAAATTTTGACAATTTCCAAAGGAAACATGCACATTTCCTTTGGAAATCTGAGGTAAAATAAGTTTAAAAAATGCAACCATTTAAATCTGTATGCCCCTCATTTAAAAAAAACAACAACAACATAACTTCCTCCTCATTGCTTCAAAAATAATTGCCACTCCTCTCCCCTCATAATAAGGAAGCTTCAGTTAATTACGTCACTGTTGGCCTAATTATTTGACCATTTTTAAGTCTCTGAAGGATCTTTTGAGACACTTTTCCCTCACAGTCCTTTGCATGTTATATTTTGTATCTTTAAAATGTGTTATCTGTATAAATAAAGGAGCAAACAACTTCTTCCAGTGTCAATTAACTTTTTCAATTAGCCTCGGAGTTTATGGTACCTGAGTTGAAGTAGAGCAGGTGGATGAGGTTGCTGCCGTCGATCACCAGCCGGCTCCTCCTGAACTTGACGTCCCGGTAAATACCCCGGTGGTTTTCTATCAAAGTGGTCAAACCTTGAACTCCCATCCTGGGTCTGATGCCTGTGCGCAGCCCGCTGCATCCCCGCCGCTCTTATACTCTAGTCTGCAGCGCACCGACTTTCTGTTTCCTTAAGTTTCGCTTTCCAGACATCGCATGAGATCAGGAGGACGGTGGCTCATATTCTAGCTGCTCGTCGCCGGACTGCTGCAGGATTTTATGTGTTTATAGCAGATGGAAAATATGATCATATAAACTATATATCCGCCATCATGTCAAGTCAAGTCAAGTTTATTTCTATAGCACATTAAAAACAACCTCAGCTGACCAAAGTGCTGTACAGGCATGTAAATACATACAAACAAATATAAATAAAGTAAATATAAAACACATGGTAAAAATAAACAATAAAACGTAATAAAATGACCAATAAAACATCATAAAAACAAATCAAGATAAAATAAATAGTACTAAAACCAACATCTCATGCTTAACTAGTGCTGAAAGCCAGTAGTGAGAAGAAATGGGTTTTCAGCAGGGGTTTCAAATATGCTCAAGAGTCTGAGCAGCTCTTACATGCAGTGGCAGGCTGTTCCACAGGTTGGGGGCTGCCACCGAGAAGGCTCCATCACCTCTACTTTTGAGTCTAGATGTGGGAACCTCCAGCAGCAACAGGTTGCTAGACCTCATTGCTCTGACTGGGGTGTAGCAGCTCAGACAGACAGGATGGTGCCAGGCTGTTAAGACTTTTAAAAACGAGTAATAAAATTTTAAACTGGATCCTAAAAGAGACTGGGAGCCAATGTAGGGAAGCCAGTACAGTTTTTTCCCTGTTAATAGGCGGGCAGCTGCATCATGTGTGCAGAGTGAAGAGGAGGGGACTGAGGTACACGTTTTATTATAGGGATACTTCTACAAGATTAAAGGACAGAAACGGTGCCTACATTGTTCTGCTTATCTTGAATGTCTCATATCAAACTGATGGATCCATATACAGCGGTAGAATAAGTACATTTACTCAAGTACTGTACTACTTTACTCGAGTATTTCTACTTTATAGTAACTCCACATCTCAGAGGGAAATATTGTACTTACTGCACCACATGTATTATAAAGCTTTAGTTACTTTGCAAATTTAGATCAGTAATAAAAAATATTAATATACTTATTATAATAACATAGTAGTTTATAGTAGTAAAGTAATATAGTAGTTTAATCTATAAGTAATAAGTTATTATAGCTTAAACTATGAGCTCCTCCTTTACCAGCTGCAACAGGAACACATCAATGCGTCAAAAATTATCATCCAATAATATATGTTTATTTATTTTCTAGGGGGAAACAATACCTGTAACATACAACAGAATATAGAAACAAAACAACTCGGCTGGGCTCACAGATCAAACATCAGGAATTACACACTATAGCCTAACTAAGAGAAAGAAAAACAAATGACAAGACACGTTAAGATAAGATAAGATAAGATAAGATACACCTTTATTGATCCCATAATTGAGAAATTCCAGTGTTACAGCAGTCAAGGAGAAAGAGTCAAAATTTAAACTTAAAAACTTAAAACTTAAAAAAACTAGCCATGCAAAATGAGTACAAAAATACAAGAAACGGCGATAAATGATAATAATAATAATAATAATAATAATAATAATAATAATAATGAGAAGTGAATGAAAATGAGCAGCGGATAAAGGGAGCACATCTAAAGGGGTCCATGTCATTGGTCCGACATCCCATTAGTCCGACTGTCCGCGGTGCTGAACGGCTCGCGGTGGGCGTATGGTGCGCCACGACCGGCTTGAGGCGGAGCAGGCTCACGGCTTATGTGTTTGTCACTTTCTTTTTCATTTTAACCCACACCATGATCTTTTCCTGACCCTAACCAAGTGGTTTTTGTGCCTAAACCTAACCAGACCTTAACCACAGGGCATCATGATGATTTCGGAACGGACTTCGGAACAATGAGTTTAATATGGTCGAACCAATGGGCAGTTCCCACATCTAGTCCCCGACTACATTGACCCTCTTATAAGAATATATCCAATACAATATAGGACACAAAAGGCTCCCATATGGAACACGTCATCTCTTGAGTGCAGGACACATGTCAGCTAAGTTCTATCTGACACCCAGTTTCAGAGGTTTACACTTTGTTGCACAGACTGTTATCAGTTTACAGAGTTTACCTTTAAACGTATTCAGAATAAAACCATTTGTTTTGGTTCATTTTTTAAATCAGTGGCGAAGATTTTATTAATTTCCTGTCCTATAACATCGCTAAACTTCTGTATCTTCTGACCACCAGCAGCGGCTGAGACGACATGTCTTGACATGTCTTTTTGCACTTGAGGCACGGAGGGCAGAAGTCTGTGTTAAACATGTGTTGTTGGGAAGAGGATATATGACCTCTGTGCAAAAATCCTGAGTTGAATATGTGTTCTGAAATGGATCATTCTGCGTAGTGAGTACTTTTACTTTTGGTACTTTATTGTGATACTTTTATACTTCGACAATAACATTTTGAATGTGTGGATCTTGTCTCTGATTTCACTTCTGTTCTCAAATATTTTTACAGACTGACACAAAAATTAGTTTTTTCTAAATTGTAAAGACATTAAAAATATATTTAAAATTTTCAGTGGGAAAATGTTGCCTGAATTTGTTTGGGTTATGAAATTATAATAATCAGGTAAACACAGTGATGAAAGATCATTTACTTATGTTAAACCACCAAAAAATAAACATGAAAATATCATTACATGTAGCAGCCCCTCACTGATAGTCCAATTTAAGTAAAAGTATGTAAGTGTTCTCAGCTTCACGTGGTTGAGGTATCAGCAGTAAAAGCACGTGAGTATTGAACTAAGTACTGAGATGTTTTACTTAAGTAAGTGTTGTACAGGTTCACGATAATATCAGCACATCATCGGCCGACATTGGCTTTGAAATGAAATATTGGAATCAGCATCACATCCTCACTGTGACCTCGTCACATGTCCACGTTTGGTCATGGACTTTCCACGTCCACATATGACGTCCAAGGTACCCTGGGTGTGTTGGTTGTTGACGTTCTGGGACGCTGTGTCAACTTCAGCCTGTTACATGCATTGTCTGTTTTCAAAATACACTTCTGTTTTCACAGGAAATGTACAGTTTGCATACAGTCTCTTTCAAAATAAAAGCACTATATAAAAGCACAACACTGGGAATTGTCTTTTTTTTTTTCCTCCAACAACTACGACATGTGGTTAGGTTTAGGAAAGAAAGAACAGGAATTGGCTTTATAATCTCACGGGACACAAACACCACTCTCCCGGGTGAAAGTCATGTTTTTTTGGACCCATCCACCCTACTTGGACTTTTGCCACCTTAACTTTCATTCTTGTCCTGCCGTGTTTCCCCCTGACGCCACCAAGCACTGTTAAACTAAAACAGCAACCAGCCGCGTGCCATGCCAACCTTAAAGGACGGCGTTTTTCGTCATCGTCTGACGCCGCAAGTCATTGCCCAAGCACCGGATTTCGACGACTTCAGAGTGAGACTAGGTTGGAATCGACCAACATGCTGATTTCTGCAGATATGACAAACCAATATATATTCTTTTAGAACAAGAGAAAGACGGCTGTTTGCTCGTTATAATCAGCCGCTTGTGTCAGGTGCTCATAGAGAACAGGAAACAACAGGATAAATATAGAAAATGAAGATGGAAGTAGTAGGAACTGTAGTGGCTAAATCATTTAAAGAGCCGACATGTTTCAACCTCTGCAGGTCTTCGTCAGGGCTTTAAAAACTAGTTTTTACATCTGTTTTACAAATTTCTTAAATCACCACAAAGTAAATCAGCTGTCTTAGAAAACAAAGGGCTGTGAATTAGTATTTTCCTCAGGGCTTTTCAAATTTTAAAGGAAACGTTCTTTATAAATGCAGATAAATCAGACAATTGCACAACAGTATTACACAGTGCGAACACAAATACATGATCTTAAACCGGGGTGTTACGTAAGGAGGCCTATGTGACTGAAAATACATATAAAAGTAAAAATAAACAAGGTATATTCAGTCAGAGGATTCGGGGGAATAAAGTTGCACAATTTTACATAATATATGGATTTACTGGTTATCGGTCAAATGAGTTGTAATATATAGGCATATCAGACATCAGCAAAAAAGACAATATCGTCCTTAAAAAGTAGCAATAACACATTATAGAAAGTTTCATCAGTAAACCTCCGTTCAAATTTAACAACTTTTTATAATGTTAGTTTTTCTGTAACGATGCATCATATTTTATTAAGTAATCTCATGTTTTATTTGTAAAATGTTTTCATGTGTAAAGTAACTAAAGCTGTTTAATAAATGTAGTGGAGTAAAGAGTAGAATAAAAAACCCTTAGCCATGTCATTACTAAGTACAGTATTCTAGTAAATGTACTTATTTATTGTAATCAATAACTGTAATTGTAGCAATAACGACACTTGAGGAACATAAATGATGCAAGAGTGATGCAAAAACACCAACTCAGACCAGTTCAGACCTGTGTTTCTGAACCGGTCTGAGTTTGTAGAAGGAAAGTGAAACCTACAGGAGCCCAGAGGGGAGACATGAAAGTGCAACTACATGAAGAGTGTGACAACACATGATGTGACACCTGATAACAGACTGTTTATCAGAAAGCTTCCTGCAACATTCCTGCAACACAGATAAACCCCAGTTCATCTGACAGCTGAAACCAGTTTGTGACAGTCCTTTGCATGTTCTATTTTGAATGTTTGTGGGAGTGTGACATCATTTTTTGTGTGTGTGTTTTTTTACCCTCTCTGAAACTACAGATATTTTTTCTTGAGCCTCCCGGAGTGACAGGTAGAAAATTTATTGACCATCCCTCCACCATAAATTAATTATTAGGTTTTTTAAAACTTAAGAAAGTTAAAAGTTGAACACGTGATCCTGGAGTTGAAAAAAAGCCTCAGTTTTACCTACGCCTGAGCCTGACGTGCACCTCCCCAGAAATGTAACTACACGTCACAGTGACGCAGACCTCCTGTCTGTCTCTGTAAGCTGAAACCATTTCCCTCAGTGGAAACAAAGCTTTGATTTACTTTAATTTCACAGATAAGAAACAATAAATTGTGAAGACAATAAAGCCTCCACTAAAATAGTATTTTAAGTCTTGTGTGTGATTTATCCTGGCTTCATATGAGCATATGAGGGAATCTCTGCTAGCTGCTAGGCTAATTTATACAATGTAAAATGCCATAGGCTTGTGCTAATAACGTTAGCATGTTGTATTTGTTTGGAAAACATGTTTAGTATAATGCAGTTGTTTTATCAGTGAACCTTGTGAGCTGTAATGGAGCTGAATTTCTAACTTTACCTTTGTTAAAAGGCTTGTGCTAATAATGTTAGCATGTTGTATTTGTGGGGAAAATGTGTCCAGATAAAGACAAGTGTTTGTCTGTGAATGCTGCGAGTTATAGTGAAGCTGATTTGTGTACTTGTGTTTGAAACTGTCTCTATTAAGCCATGTTTAATGTGTGTTTTGAATTAACTAAACTTTACAGCACTTCACAGAAACCCCACTGCTGACTTGTGTTTTGGAGGTGTAGCTGCAGAGTGACACAAACACACCACCGCACAGGTATAAATGCTCACAACGGCGTAGGCTCTGATGCACAAGTATAAATCTTCTGCAGTGCTGGAATAATATTCAACATGCCTCCCCCTTTCTGCACCACCCCTCCCCCTCATAAGTACCGAACAGTCTCTAATGGGTTTCTTTATGTTGAACATTGAACGCATCAGAGGACCGTGAAGTGCTCTCTGGTTGTGTTTGTGCGGTGTCACGTGGGTAACGCGTCTTCCTCCTCCGGACTGGTTCAAACCGACAGAAAGCTGTCCTGCTGGGAGACGCACAGTCTTCAGCCTGCACACAGTGAGAGTCCCACACACACCCAGCTCCAGACGTTAACCCCGGTATGTCCTCACTCTGTGTCCTGAGGACTCGTTGCTTCCTCCGTCAGGTCCTCCCCGGCCTGCCCGCCGCCATGCACAGACACTACAGCCTGGACGTGTCCGCTCCGCTGCTGAGGACGCAGGGCTACGTGGACGGTCGCTGGGTGTCTGCAGCCTCGGTGTTTCCCGTGCTGGACCCGGCCACCGGGAAGGAGATAGTCCGGGTGTCAGACTGTGGCCCGGCTGAGGCCAAGCAGGCTGTGGACGCTGCGTATAAGGCGTTTCATTCCTGGAAGCAGTACAGTGCTAAGGTACGTTGGCCACGCTCTCGGTCTCCGTACTCCATTCGCAAAACGGTCAATTTAGAGTAAACGTTGCACATCAGTCTGAAAAACACTAAAACACGGTAACATACGGTATTTCCCCAACTGATTATTAAACAGAGTATCATTTGGCTTACGTATAATTCACCAATTAACACGGCGCTTGCATGAAATACCAAGTTTCACTTTAGTTCGCCGCTCATTTTGGTTGGGACGGACATGAACGTAGACCAGGTAAAAGCCTTACGAAACAAACAAACCAAAAAATCCCCCTCGGTCAGCAGAGTGTTACACAGCCATATATGCCGAATGGAAGACAGTGTCCCAGTGATTCAGGAAACACGTTGTTTGCGTTTACACAACATGAATATTAGCCAATAAACCTGACCACATTAAACTGCGAAATATTTGAATGGAGTTTCGCATGAGGCATTGCTCGTCTCTGACAGGTAGGTGCATGTGCCCTGAGCTTCATCCAATACGTCACTGAAGTGGTTTATTAGTGTAGTTGACCATGACCGAGTATCATATCTATCAGTTTATCTTTATGAGGTAACACAATGTGAAGCAGGCTGATTTGAATAGTTAAATAAAATCCAAAGTCTGCAGCAGCACCTGTGGAAAAACTACTTTGATCTTTTATTTAAATAAAAGCATTAATGCCACAATGTAAAACACGAGAAAAGGTGCTAAAGTATTTGCTTCAAAATGCACTTGAGGCATCAAAAATAATTGTTTTCATCATGCAGAATGGCCCATTTCAGAAAAACGTTTATTTTATTATACACTGCCTGGCCAAAAAAAAAGTCACCACCTGGATTTAACTAAGCAAATAGGTACGAGCCTCCTATTGGATAATTACTGCATGGGCGATTATCTTTCAGCTGGCAACAAGTTATTTAACCCCAACTGGTGCAATGAGTTGCTTCTCATTTCCTAAACAACCATGTCAAAAGACACATCCCGTGGTCGTGGAAAAGATGTTAGTCTGTTTGAGAAGGGTCAAATCATTGGCATGCATCAAGCAGAGAAAACATCTAAGGAGATTGCAGAAACTACTAAAATTGGGTTAAGAACTGTCCAACGTATTATTAAAAACTGGAAGGATAGTGGGGACCCATCGTCTTCGAGGAAGAAATGTGGCCGGAAAAAAATCCTCAATGATCGTGATCGGCAGGGTTCATCGGCCTCAAATTGTGAAAGACTGGTTCAGGGAGAATGAGACATCATTTTCACACATGGATTGGCCACCACAGAGTCCAGACCTTAACCCCATTGAGAATCTTTGGGATGTGCTGGAGAAGGCTTTGCGCAGCGGTCAGACTCTACCATCATCAATGCAAGATCTTGGTGAAAATTAATGCAACACTGGATGGAAATAAATCTTGTGACACTGCAGAAGCTTATCGAAACAATGCCACAGCGAATGCGTGCCGTAATCAAAGCTAAAGGCGGTCCAACGAATTATTAGAGTGTATGACCTTTTTTTTTTGGTGGTGACTTTTTTTTTGGCCAGGCAGTGTAGGATCATAGTTACTGAAACATTAATATGTTCATCACTTTAATGCTGCAGCTGGTAAAATTACAGTTATCCATAATAAACATAATTTATTAGATGATTATATTTCTTATTAATCTGAATCTGCAAAGTAACCAAAGTTATCAAATAGGTGTAGCAGAAGCGCAAAGTGACAGAATTAAAACACCCAACTAAAGTAAAAGTAGCTTAAAGTTGCACTGAAGTCCAGTATTTGAGTAAATGTACTTTCCACCACTGAACTGCTGTGACACCAAACACTGCTGCAGCATTTAAGCAGAATAAACAGCCTTGTGTCTGTCTGGGAGATGTCACAGTAACTGAACATTAACTTATAGTAGTAGTGTTGCGGAAACTTGACGTGTTGACCTGTCAGTGATTTCTGTCTTTCCTGTCCAGCAGGTAACACACACACACACACACACACACACACACAGTTATTAAACCTCATCACAGTCTCACTGAGCACAAAGTCCAACTGTTGAAATGTAGCTGTGTGCAGCTGTAAGGACGATTCAGGTGCTTATTAATGTACAGTATTTGTCAACAGTAATAGGTTCTCTTTAATAGGAGTCATTATTATTATATAGCCAAAACATTCAAACCACTGACAGGTGAAGTGAATAACCTTGATTATTTTGTTCCAATGCATTGTTCTGCTGGGAAACCTTTGGTTCTGGTGTTCATGTGGATACCACCTGACATGTTCCACCCACTCAAACACAGTTGCAGACCAAGTACCCCCCCTCATGGCAACAGTACTCCCCAATGACAGTGCCCCCCCCCCAGCAGGACAATGCACCATGCCACACTGCAAACATGGCTCAGGAATGGCCCAAGGAATGTGACAAAGACCTCAAAGTGTCAACCTGGACTCCAAATTCCCCAGATCCCAATCTGAGTGAGCATCTGTGGCACGTGCCATTAACCCACCTCACAGCCCACTGGAGAGATCCTGTGTCCATGCCTCGACAGGTCGGAGTCAAGACTGATCCAAGGAGGCCCCACCTTGGATTAGGGGGACATCTGGGGTAACGGCACATCACAAGAATCCTTGAGCAGATTGGGACCCGGGAAATTTAGAAGCCAGGTCGACACCTTGAGCTTTTTGTCATGCTCCACAGGACATTTCTAAACTGTGTTTGCAGTGTGGCATGGTGCATTATCCTGCTGGGGGACACTTCACCTGTCAGTGGTTTGAATGTTTTGGCTGATCAGTGTATAGAACCAAGATTTCAACCCCCCCCCCCCCCCCCAACATGGTTGTGTTGGTGTGTCTTGACTTCTTGATGAAGGCTCTTAGTGTCCTGATGATGCTGTACATTTCCAGACATTCCAGTATCCATGTGTTTGGCATTGAGTCGTAGGCTTTCTGTTTCTTGTAGTCGATCCAGTGCTGTCCAGCTCTTCACACCTGATACTCTCTCTTGGATGTTTGCTGTCGTCATGGTAACTGGCTCTTGTTCTGGAAGATTGCTGTTTGCTCCTTGACCCATGAGGCACTTAACATCTGTGCTATGTGATGCCTTCTTCCATGTGCTCTTCCAGTGTTCAGTTTCAGCCCAGGGTGGACCTGTTCTCACGTTGTTACCTTGTCGCTGAGAGAACACTTTGGATGGTTCAGTGAAGAACATCCTATTTGTTCTTCTGGCCTCTCTTGTGTATCTCTTCAGGCAGGTAGCCAGAGCTGTGAGCTTTTGCTGGGCAGTCTCCAATGCTTCAGGTATAGACAGTTTGTTGTACCTCCTAGGGATCCCTTTCTTCCCCTCACCTTTCTGTATCTTCATCTTGGTCTCCAGCCTCCTTGATCATGGAGGGTAGCACTCTTTGTGGCTGTTGGTGTTCATCTTATAGCCAAGCACCTCTGGGATCACATCATCTTTTAGAATCATTTTCATATCAGAATATTATCAATATATTACGCAGCTCTACCTCAGATTTAGATTCATATGGTCCAGAAGTCACCAGTTGGGTGTTTTTAAATGAACCTGCAGTTTGCAGCCTGATTTGACCCGTTTCACTGTTTAATATTTTCCACTTTGTGACACATTAATCAGATTTAGTTTGAGCGAGCAGGAAGCAGGTTTAACAAACCAGTGTTCGAGGAGAAACATAATCATTACTGTTCATGTGAAGCCGTTGTTGACGAGTTCTTCAAATCATTAACGCTGAATAAAAACATGTAAAACAACAAATACGTGAACTTTTATTCACCTGACTCCTGCTGTGATGTCACTGGTTGTCCTGCAGGAGAGGAGTGTCCTGTTGAGGAAATGGTTCGACCTGCTGACGCTGCACAAAGAAGACCTCGCCAAACTGATCACCTTCGAGAGTGTGAGTGTAAAGGGACAGTTCACCTAAATTACAAAAAACAAAATAAACAACCTAGACAGTGAAGTTTGTGGTTTATATGTCTTTTTCTCATGTCATTTAGTTTATCTAAACTGAATCTGTGTGTGTGTGTGTGTGTGTGTGTGTGTGTGCGCGCGCTGCAGGGTAAGCCCATGAAGGAGTCTCTCGGGGAGATTGCGTACTCCGCCTCCTTCATGGAGTGGTTCTCAGAGGAGGCGCGGCGAGTGTACGGTGACGTCGTTCCATCACCTGCCAGAGACCGAAAGATCCTCCTCCTCAAGCAGCCGGTGGGCGTGGCCTCCATCATCACACCGGTGAGCAAAAACCCTTCTGGATCAGCTGAAAGTCGTTGTCACAGCGCTGAGAACAGGCTGTTTTCATGACTTTTTATTTTCTAATATCTGCTGTTGAGTAGATGGAGTCAACATATAATCAACATCTACATTTAATGCTCATTTTCCTAAATATTAAAGTTGTGCACGACCCTTCTGACAGCCTGCTGCTAACTTCCAGTTCTGATCCCACAGCTCTGTAACTCAAAAGAAAAAAAAAACTTGAGTGGACTTGGCAAGAAGAATAAATGATTATGTAGAGTAAAATAGTACTATATATGAATGTGTATGTGCACACATGTAGACACACATACACAATTTCTGTAGATTAAACTAACCAACAGGATATTAAGTTGTTGAAATGAGCTCAACCTGAAACATCTACAGCAGGAAAATGAACCCAGAAACATGAGATAGAAAAACACTGACAGCAGGAACAGTTTACTGCAAGACACACGCTGTTAGCTGATAATACTTACATACTTTCACTTAAGTACGGTTTTGAATGCATAACTTTTACTTGTGGTATTAATAGTTTAACTGCAGTAAAGTTTCTGAATAATTTCTCCACCACCGCTGACAATCAGCAGCTTACAGTGGGTTTATAGAGAGACTGTGTCAGACTGAAAATATGTGTGGACCCCAAACTGTGAGGTAAAGGAATACTTTATCCACAAAATGGCCATTTGTACCTTTTATTTCATTAAGAAGACTTTGTTTTTCCTGAATGCCTCCATGGTAAACAGAGAATCCAGCTAACTGCAATATTCACAACTGAAAAATCAACACATCTAACAGCCATCTGCAGCTACCCCCACTGCTCAGTCAAATTAAACACACAGCCTCCCGGAAGAAACAGTTCTCAAAAATATATAAACTTCTGATAAGGACAGACAACAACCTGCCACGACCAGTGCAAGACTGGGAAACAGATGTAGCTGTCTCCTTTGATATTAACTCCTGATTGCACACCTACAGTAACACCCTCGCAGTGACCCAAAACTCCAAACTGCAACCTGTTCACGTGACATAATATACACTAAAACAAAATGGGACTCACAGACAATGACACTTGTACACACTGCACATCAGACAGCACAGATGACTGCTGGCATGCCACCTGGCTTTGACCCCCCCCCCCCCTTCAGACATTCTGGACAAATGCAACACACAAAATGTCCTCAACCACAGGCCACAGCGTTCCAGTCCCTCCCTCTGTGTGTCTGCTAGGTGATTTCTCACCAGGCGAACCGTCACTGACACATGAACAACCCGTACTGGTTGCCCTAAAGCAAGGTTTATGTTTCTGCGTACGTACGACGCAGCGGGCTTTGCATTGCGGCCCTCTGCAACAGATGCAGAGACGCGACGTGCACCTCCAAAAAGTTGTACCCACGTGTCGAGGCAACGCAGACTGCAAGAGCTATGATTGGTCCTTCAAACTACATAATTTCTGGCATGTCGCAAGGTTTCACTTCCTGCTGCAGCGTCACATATTCGCCTGTAGTCTGCCTCGAGCCATTCAACAGGTGTACAGACCATCGTCATCATGGTAACAAGAGCATTTGTTGATCAGTGTCGATCATTTTGAGCTCCATCAACAGTCTTTCTCTCTCAGTCGCCATCTTCACTGTGACTAGAGCCAAGCCGTAAGATAAACAATGAACGAGCAACAACCATAGACGTCACAGAGTCTAGGTAGGTGTATAAAAACACCGCGCCCCCAAGCACTTTGGCGGGGAATTGCATAGCGACATAGACCAACAGGACGCAGAACTATGATAGGCACACAGCAACTGTGTGCGTGATGCGTGGAGTACGCAGAAGCATAAAGAAACTTTAACAGTCGCTAAAAAACAGTTTACTGAACTGGGAAGACAGAAACACCTCTCACCATCCCTGAGGCGTCATCTGTACTCTGAGTACATTTCAATAGAAAGACAAACAGCTTTAAAAAGCAACCAGACTGATACATTTCACAGATGTTAGGCTGCGTTCATTAACACCACCTATCTCACCCTGGTAACTACCTCCCCAGTGCCCCCACCTGTACACACCTACACATGCCTCAACTATAAAGTAGCCAGCCCTCAACACCTGCCAACTTTTCATCAGTAAGAGCAACTCTTCTCACATTACATTGAATGGATTTAAATGAGCTCTAAGTGTTGAACTAGTTGTCGTGTTGCTCCACAGTGGAACTTCCCCAGCGCGATGATCACCAGGAAGGTTGGAGCTGCTCTGGCTGCCGGCTGCACGGTGGTGGTGAAACCAGCCGAGGACACGCCGCTGTCAGCACTCGCTCTGGCTGAGGTCAGCACACTGAACACCTTTACTGAACCCTCTGTGTTTTTTAAATGTTAGCTTTTCTCTAAGTCATGATGAACGTGTTGTTGTGCAGCTGGCGGAGCAGGCAGGGATTCCTGCCGGGGTCTTCAACGTGGTTCCTTGCTCCAGAGAGAAGACGCCGTCAGTCGGGCAGGTTCTCTGCACTGACCCACTGGTGGCCAAAATCTCCTTCACTGGATCCACCGCCACTGGCAAGGTGAGGTCCTGAGCCTGCAGTGCCCCCTGCTGGCTGTGGTTGAGAGGATGACATGATGAAATGAAGTCATGAAGTTTACAGTGATTTGTTGAAAGGTGAAGGAATACAATTAACACACATAATAGTTGAATTAGATATGTATCCATCGTCACTGCGTGCTGCGTGCAAACCGTCCTCTCTGAGCTGGTGAAAGTTAAACAGTAAAACTTTGAATCTCCTCTCAGTTGCTGCTGAAAATGGCCGCCGACACAGTTAAGAAGGCGTCCATGGAGCTGGGAGGCCACGCCCCCTTCATCGTGTTTGACAGCGCTGATGTCGACAAAGCGGTGGCCGGGGCCATGGCGTCCAAGTTCAGGAACTCTGGACAGGTAAGATGAGGAAAACACTTGAACACTGAGGTCACATGGTTGAGTCGTCACATGTCACCGTCCTCCTCTCCTTCCTGTAGACGTGCGTGTGTTCCAACCGCTTCCTGGTGCAGAGCGGCATCCATGATCGCTTCATGGAGAAGCTGGGCAAAGCGATGGACACCGAGCTCCGCCTGGGTCACGGCTCGGAGCCCGACACCACCCAGGGGCCACTAATCAACGCCAGAGCTGCAGAGAAGGTAAAACTCCAGCTTTACTTCACAGCTGCAGGGCCAGTCGTGGTGAGATATCTCGCTCTGGAGAAAGATGTTTGATCAGGACAAAAAACTAGAGAAGGATATATATGTAATCAGTGTCAGAGTATGTGTCGACCTTTAAGTGAGAAACAATATACAGATACCAAAGAGAGGTTTGAGGTCATTTAAAAACAGAGTTTGTCCATGAGTGCACTGAGAAGTTTAATTTTACACCGAGGTCGTTATATGTTAAGAGCCACATTTAGAAAGGGGCGGAGAAAATTAAATATTAAATAATGAAACATCAAAATGTTGTAAATAATTAAAATAACTGATGATGAGACAGTTGGAGAGTTACTGGGGAACAAAACATGTGACAGGTTGACTCTTTTCATGCCTCCACAACGGTGGTAGCCGTAGCCGGAGGAATTGTTTTTTGGGTTGTCAAGTAAAAAGAAATAGTTTTGCATTTACAGGGTCATTCAGTTCAGTCATTATCCCGTGTTGCTCCATATCCATAAAAGATTCGTTAGCGATTCATCAACCTTACTGTAAGCTTACTGCACATTTGAGCGTGTTGTTCCGGCCGATACTCCACCGCTCTCCTGCTCTCTCACGACCGGAAATGAATCAGTGAGTAGACTGTAAAAATGGGTGTTTCCAGATGTGCACACAGATGATGAAATGTAGTCCAGGTTGTCACAATATATTGGTCACTGTTCTTTAAGAGACGCATTTAGAAAGGTGCAGAGAAATAATGAAACAATAAAAAAAAAGGAACAAAACTACTCGTTGGCTCACTTTCTGTCACCTTTAGGTCACATTTCCTTTTTATTGTTTTGTTTCTAGAACATACAGTGTTTTCTTACTTTCACAGGGTTTTTTTTACATATTGTTTGCTTCTATCTGCTGTAAATCCACTAACAACCCCTTTATTAAGAAAATAGAAATTATGTCAGGGGGTCCTCGTCAACATTGATCTAATCTTATCAGATTTTTGTAACTCTTGAATATAAATCTGTATCTGCAGCAGAGTTCAGCACCTGACACCCTCTGTATCACAGGTGGCCCATCAGGTATCAGATGCAGTGTCCCGGGGAGCGAAGGTGTTGAAGGGCGGGAAGCGTCTGGAGGGGTCCTTCATGGAGCCCACTCTGCTGGCCGACGTCACCACAGACATGCTCTGCACCAGGGAGGAAACCTTCGGCCCGCTGCTGCCCGTCATCAGGTCTGAGCTCCCCTAGTTTTTCTAAAATAATTTTTTAAGTCTATTAATTTTTTGCCATTTGTGGGACATTTCTTAGCAAGTTGCTCGTTGCCTTTTTTCCATGTTTTTAAAAGAAATCTCACAATTAGCTCAGGGTTTAAAGGTTTAAATAATAATAATTATAAACCTGATTCATATGCACCTTTCATACAAGAGATGCAGCACAAATGCTTTACAATAAGGGCAGTATAAGCTCTGAGTGCTTCACATGAAAACAGCTAAAATTAACATAAAAGAGAACTGATTCATAAAATCACAGAGTTGTAAAACTTTAAATCATAAAATCAAGATTTGAAGAGTTGCAGCAGCGTGAAGCGTAAACAGAAAGAGTTTCAGACCTGTATCAGGACGTCAGAGCCAGTTAAAGTCTAAAGTGAACAGATATGTTTTTAGCTTTCTTTAAAAAATATTTAGCGAGCAGCTTCTCTGATATCTACAGGTCGTGTGTTCCATAGCTTAGCACTGACAAAGGCTGCATCCCTGATCTTCTTCCAATAAACCAGCAGCAGATGATCGCAGTGTTCTTGGAAGCAAATAGTTAACAAGGGAGTTAGCGATGTAGCTCGGTCCCAGCCCATGTAAGGCTTTGTATACAAGGAGGAGGAGCTTAAAATCAACTCTACATGTGACAGGAAGTCAGTGCAGAGCAGCTCAGACTGGACTGATGTGCTCTCTCCTCATGGTTCTGGTTGATAGCCGAGCTGAAGAGGTTTCAATCAGCTGAAGTCTCTCAGTGGTGTTTCTTGGGAGGCCAGTGAAAATGCGTTACAGTTGTCGAGGTGGCTTGAAATAAAGACATGAATCAATTTCTCTGCATCTTTTTTATTTAGAAATAGTCGTACCTTAGTGATGTTTCTGTTTCTGGGGTGGGAAAATGACGTTTTAAATACTTGCAAAAGGCGTCTGAAAGCAGCACAAGAAAAGAGCTGTTGCTCCAAGTTTCAAAGGGTTAATGAAGCTTCAGACTGATTCTGTGCAGCGGCGTTAAAATAATGAGAGACATTTGAGTGTGTGACGAGATTTTTACCAAAGGAAACTCTTCACTTAAGTACAGGTCATGTTTTTTATTTTATATACTGTAAATATATACAACCTCATAGTGGGAGAAAATATCACATCCTGAATATTAAACACAAGCAAACCTGTAAAGCTGCGGGTTGATTTCAGGTCCTGAAGACGTCTGTCAACCAAACAGAACTTGTGTTTGTGATTCACAGGTTTAACACAGAGGAAGAGGCTCTGGCTATCGCTAACGCGTCTAATGTGGGGCTGGCAGGTGAGTGCTGAGGTCCTGCAGTAAAAAACAAAAAGTCCTGGAAACGTTGAACTCAGGGTTCACAAGGTCGTGAAATGTCTGGGAAAGTTATGAAATTAGAAAAAGTGTTTTCCAGGCCTGGAAATTGTTTAGAATTAACAGAATGTTTTGAATATTCATCATTTTTGCTGTTGTTTAAAATATGTTTGACTTTAAAGGAGGTAAATCTTTAAAAAGGACCCAGCTGGTGTTTCTGTCTTTAGTTTGGCTGATCTCTCTCAGCTCAATTTGAACCCTGACGTGCTCTTATTTTGTTTTGTTGTCAGGTTACATCTTCTCGCAGGACGTGAGTCAGATCTGGCGGGTGACGGAGGAGTTGGAGGTGGGGCTAGTTGGAGTCAACGAGGGCCTCCTGTCCACCCCAGAGGCCACATTCGGCGGGGTCAAACAATCCGGTTTGGGCCGTGAAGGCTCTAAGTACGGCATCGACGAATATTTGGAGATCAAGTACATGTGCTTCGGAGGCCTGAAACCCTGAAACAGGACAGAGTGACGCCGCAGCTCCAGTGGTACCACACACTGAGTTACACAGTAATCATTGAAGGTGGTCAGAACTGTAGATCTCAGGTTTGAATTGATTTAAGATAACAGAAAATAACCTTTTAATCAGAGTCCAGGGGGCCAGACGAAAGCGTCTCTGAACTGCCCTTAAAATACCTTAAATCTAACCTGACAGTGAGCAAACCAGTCGGTAACTTTTCACTTACCATAAAATGTTTTTTATCATCCCATCGGACGTTCATCATTAGCTGTCAGGAGGAGGGGCAGCACTCTGATCAGACGGGTCAGAAGAGTGAAACAGGGTCTTTAATTTGCCTTTTCATGAGAAACTGTTTATATAACTGTTTATATAAAAAAAATCATTACGGCAATAATGATCTCATCTGTATCTGATGGCATCAGATCAAAATAATTTTTATGAAAAGCGGAACATTTTTATGCTGATCAAGATTCACTTTATTTTCCCACAGTGTGGAAAATTTGTCTCGGACCCTGCACCCAAACTGCAGCCATAGAAGTACAACGTACAACATAGAAAAGTCAACATTATACCCAACATAATAAGAAGCACAAAAAGATAAATAAATAACATCATACGCTAGAAATATCAAAATGCAAATCAAATCATCATAATCCAGTGCCAGATCTGGCTTTATCTGCCATTATTTAGACTGACGTATGAATTAATGTTTAAATCTGTTCAGTGTGCAGCGAGGCGCTCTAAATCTCCTCCCAGAGTGCAGCAGCTTGGACTGTGTGTGCAGAACATGAGATGATCTTATTGACTCGACTCAAAGCAGCTACATACTGTGCATTGACTATATAACACCTTATCTAATATTATATTTGGGTTGAATTACAGTGAGATAATTGCTGATATAAGACATTCATATTCAAGGGTTTAAAAACTAATAATTACAACTTGGAAAATGACACAACTGTTAGTTACAAGTCAGAAACTCCTAATTTCAGTATCTCAGATATGACATGAACGTGACATTATCATTTTTCCTCAAATAATAAAGTGAACAAAAGTGAATTTGCTCCAGTAGCATGTGAAGTTTTTTGATAAAAAAGGTAAAGACGCTGCGACACGGCTCACTTGGTAGAAAAGAAAGATGCTGTGAAAGAAATAATCAAAATGCACAAAAGCTTTTGATAGATTTTTGTAAAATCGTTTTTTGTGTTGCGAATCCTGACGTCCTGTTGTCGGCCTGTTAGTGTAAAATCTGTATTTTTGTAATATTAAAACAGGAGGGGAGAAAGGAATAAATGTAAGTAGAAGATATAATAAATTATTGTAGGATAGTAGTTTAATAATTAACTTTTCATTGTGGAGATTGATGTTGTTTGGCAGGTTTTATTTTAAACCTCTGACAGAAGTTAAACACAGGAAGCTTTTTTTTCTTGAGCCTTCGTTAACTGAAGTTAAAATCATGGTTGCCAACGTCACAAGTGCCCTGTAACAGATTATTAACTCTTACAGTGTTGAACAACAGTGCAGTGCTGCTTTTGGGGATTTTAGGTTTGTTACAGATTATTAGAAACACCTGAAAATAATGCAGTCCAGTACAACACCACCACTGACTATGATCTCGATACTAAAACATATAATTAAATTAAACCTCTAACTGTGTCGACAAAAACTGAACATCACAGGCATCATGAGCGGTTGTATTGGATTGCATTAGACTGTATGGGTGTACCTAATTCATTGGACACTGAGTGTGTGTGCTTTTGTCTTATTGACTGTTGTCCACATCTGAAAACTGGGGCCCATGTTTCCTCCTGCAGAATCCTAAAAAAATCTTAATTTCTCTCATTTTGAGCTGAAGATCTGATGCTGTTTCTGTTCTTTGTTTTTTACAGCAAATTTTGTTCCTAATTTAAAGTGAAATTGGTCTTATTTGTCATATAATGCTGTAGTCATAGTTAATGTAAAATATATATGAATTTTATTTTTTATTTCTGACTGTAGATATTAATGGAAAAATTAAAGAGGAAGTTGTAATATTACATCTTGTGGTGAGTATTTTTTACGGCATGTAACCAGAGATGCAACCAAAATTCTTGCCCAGTCATTTCTAAGTCAGAATTATGTCGACATAAGATAATAACTCATACTTGTTAGACTTTATAGGAGCCATTCCTGGTGTAAAATGTATGTGTGATGCTAATCTGTCCTGTAGGGGTCACTGTGCTGTCATGGGTGTCTGTCAGTGTAGGATGGAACCATTCGTTCAGGGACAGGTGTTGCCAGACAGAAGCAGATTTAGTGTTTTTGGCAGCAAAGCCGGGCCACGTCAAGTCAGGTGTACACTGCTGAATGTCATGGTGAAATATTCCTACCATCCATTTTCAACCGCTTATCCAGACGTCCCTCTCCTCAGCAACACTTTCCAGCTCCTCCTGGAGGACCCCGAGGCATTCCCAGGCCAGATGAGATAAATAATCCCTCCAGTGTGTTCTGGGTCTGCCCCGGGGCCTCCTACCAGCTGGACCAGGAGGATCCTGATCAGATGTTGAACCACCTCAACATGAAGGAGCAGCGGCTCTACTCCGAGCTCCCTCTGGATGTCTGACTCCTCCCCCTATCACTAAGGCTGAGCCCAGACACCCTACAGAGGTTTTCACCACAACAGTCTGGCGCAGCATCCTCATCACTGCAGACGCTGCGCCAAACCGCCGATCCATCTCCCACTCCATTCTACCCTCACTGTGAAAAAGACCTAGAGATACTTGAACTCCCTCACTTGAGGTAGTGACTCTCTCCCAGTCTCTTTTCCAGCAGAGAACCACGACCTTGGATTTGAGCGTCCTGACTCTTATCCCGGCTTTTTCATACTCGTCTGCAAACTGCCTTAGTGCACGCTGGAGGTCACGGTGTGATGGAGCCAATAGAACCACATCATCTACAAAAAAGCAGAGATGCACTTCTGAGGTCCCCAAACCGGACCCCTTCCTCCTCCTGGCTGCACCTCGAGATCCCGTCCATGAAGGTCACAAACAGAATCAGAGACGTGAGACAACCCTGGCAGAGGCCAACACCCACTGAGAACATGTTTGACTTTGTGCCAAGTACGTGGACACACCTCACACTTTGGTCATACCTGTTCGTAAGCCTTCCCTAAGTCCAGGAAACACATGTAGAGTGGATGGGCAAACTCCCACCACCCCTCCAGCAGCCCTGCGAGAGTAAAGGGATGAGGGGTAAAAATGGTAACCACTACCCTGGTCTGCCACTCCACAAGCACCGTACCTGACCTCCACCTGACACTGAAAAGGTGTGGTGAAATGTCGTTTCTTTGAATGGTTTATGGATACAGACACAGGGATGACTGCATGGTTTTTATTGAAGACTACAGCAGTGAAATAAATTATGCATCAAAGACGAGAAGAAGAAGAAGGAGGACTCTGTTTTCACCTGATGAACAGCAGTCTGTTAGGGTCAGGTGATTAGTAAGAAGCCTGTCCGTGTAGCCTCTCAGTGGCTTTAAGTTTAGGCTTAGCTGCTGTACAAGTTCTTAAAGTCCCTCCAGGATGCTGCCATCACAACAACGAACACAAATTCATTTAATCCCTGTGAATTCTGCAGGACCAATCACTGCAACTTTACTGCAAATTTGACAATTTAAAACGGGTAAAATCTCATTTCATTGTAGAGCTGCGTGCAGCGTGATGATTCGCTCAGCCCCTCGTTGCCCTGTTTGCTCTCTGTTTATCAACTGCTGCACCTGTGACACAGTCTGACACACAGTGACAGGGCTAACTGTTAGCATGACACAGGTAGCTGAAGGTTATTAACCAGTTTAAGGACAGAGTCGAGCCGTATCGGTGTCAGTGTGAGATTCATGGCTCTGTGTTGGATGTGAACCACAAAATGTGCTGAGTAGGGATGAGATCATGTTGTGCTGTGTTAGCTTGTGCTAACCAGGCGGAGAGAGCAGAGGCCTGCACTACCAAACAGGATTTGGAGTTAGCAAGGTAACTTAAGGGCTAACTCTGGGTTTTCAGTACCACGAAGCTGGTTCTCTTTTCACTGGGATAAATCACCGTTAACTTCAAGGTATCGGATCACAACCTGTCAACACCCTGAAATCTGACCAATCAGATCACTGAAGAAGAAAATATCCATGACTTAAGTCTGGAGTCTCTGGAGTTTAAGTCTCAGCTGACGGTGAAGTTTTGGAGAGTATTTTCAAAGTTTCTACATTTTCCAGGATTACAGAGTGTCGTTACATCCTACGCCACTGACATTTTACTGTCTCACAGACACTTTCGGTACTGTTTCACCTCCTATGAAGCAGCCTCCTTCATTCATGTTACTGATGATGATGCTCATAATTAACAGCCCCTCTTCTTCCACATAAACGCGCTTGTGGCTGATATGAAAACCCAGAGTTGACTGACCTGGCTAGCCAGCTTTGTAGTACCAGTTATTCAGACGGCAGATGTGACGGGTAAGTCAAACCAGATAACAAGAAGATATCCTGGGTAAGTTGAACTGGTTTCGTAGCACAGGCCTCAGGAGGAGAGCAGCTCAGGGAGACGGTTCCTCAGCGCTGCGTTGGACAGCAGCAAAAGCTGATTGGCAGCGAATTGAGATGACATTGTTTCCCAAATGCTCAGTTTCACATCCACACAGATGAAGTAGGAGTTTCGAAAAATACGCACCGTAAAAAAAACAATGAGGCCAAAATGTAAAAGAAAATATGTATTTTCAAAATTATCTCAGCCTAAATATCTTACTTAAAATTCTACATTTTAAGACTGAATAAGCCAACACAGTGGGGCTGTGAGGGTTAGTTGATCAATTGATCGACAGAAAATTAACTGGCAACTATTTTTATAATCAAATAATCGTAAAATAATCAGAACAAAGGCGTAAATTGAAAAATACAAAGTAAAATAGCCAAACGTGCTGGTCTCATGCTTCTTAAATGTAAGAATGTGATGCTTTTGACAGTTGGTGAGATGAGACACCATCTGAAGACATCACCTTGGGCTCTGAGAAATTACACAGCAGGTGTGTTTCACTATTTCCTGACTGTTTTATGATTCATTGAGAAAATAACGGGCAGATTAACTGATAATGAAAATAACTGTTAGTTGCAGCCCCACGACACAGATCATCAGAGTTCTCTTATGATAAAGAATCCTTCAAATATTAATTCGGATGCTTCAGCCCTTATTGTCCTGTGTGAGGAGTCTCAGGTTTGTCCTCATGTCCTTATGTCCTTTCGAAGGAGTCCGACCCTGAAATGGGACACTGGTTCATTTACTGACCTCACAGAAACAAGATTTCTGGGAAATGAAGTCCTTCTTCAGACTTTAAGAAGTTAAATCTCTCGCTGCCACTTGTGGCTGCCAGAGTGCAAACGTCTGAGTCGAGCCCATCTGGTCACCAGGAGGTCAGATCTGGTCCCATCAGCCAAAGGCGTTTCCGTTGCGAGCGGCCTGGGCGCTGATCCGGTTCCTGCTGCGGACGGGTCGGTCCCGGCTGAAGATGGTGTCCTGGTCGCTGTCCAGCTCCGACTCTGACATCATCAGGCTGGAGTTGTGCTCTGTGCTGCGGTGTTTGATGCCTGCAGAGAGGTGAGGGCTTTCATTTATAACATCTTTTATATATGCTGTCTGTTGACTCTGATTTAGAGTTCTGAATTTTGTCATTTTAATTTGGTAGTTTTACTTTTTTTTTTTTTTTTTTAGATATTTTCAGGGCTGTTTTGCCTTTAATTGATGGACAGTTGTTAGTGTGAAAGGGGACGACATGCAGCAAAGGGCCGTAGGATGGAATTGAACCCACAGCCACTGCAGCAAGGACAAAGCCTTTGTAAATGTTACAGCTGAGCTAATGGGCGCCATGTATGAAGAAAAGAAAACGCTCTAACTGAAGAGACTCACTGAATTTAGGTCTGAGCTCCACTCGCTCCTGCTCGTCCATGTTGTCCAGGATGGTGTATTTGGTTTTCTTCCTCACTTTGGTCTGTCTCCTCCTGAACACAGTCGACACAAACAGGCTGTTCAGATACACGGTGACACTATGACCTCACCAGGATGACAGGGTTTAAAGTTCAAACATCTGGAAACATCATGTGTAAAGGTGTGCTCACCTCTTGCAGCAGCAGATGAAGGTCCAGCTGATGGACAGGATGAAGACCATGAGCATGAAGCTGGTCAGGATGACGTACAGCACCCTCCACTCTGACAGGAAGAACAGGAGGAGCCCAAAATCAAATCACCTGCGTTACATTAAACCTGCTGCGTCTAAAGAACTCATGTAACATGCCAGAAAAGCAAATATGAGCTGGACAGAAGACAAGAACTCCTTTCCTCTCCTTTTTTAGGGGAGACTAGGAGAAACACAGTGGTGGATTTAACTACGTACATTTACTCCAGTTCTGTAGTTAAGTACAAATTTGAGGTACTCATACTTGAGTACTGTTTTTCATGTCACTTTTAAGGACCAGAGTGTAAGATTTAGGGAGATTTAGTGGCATCTGGCAGTGAGGATTGCAGACTAGAGCCAGTATTTGGTTTGTCTGTTCTGTGTTACTGTAGATATATGTCAGTGTAGCGCAGCGATCACTGAAGAGGACTCGCTCCCTACTCTATGTAGATTTAAACGGCTCATTCTAAAGCCGCATTTCAACCAACCAGTACGTCACGGTTCAGTTCAGTTTGTATTTTTTCTGTTCCCACAGTGTAAAGTTGTGGATGGTACCAACAGAAGCATTCCTTAGCGTCCCCATGTTTGGTCTCCCCTCTGTTGGGGTACCTAGCACACAGATCTGGTACTAAAAGGTGCAGCTAGAAACCCTGCAGTCTGATTGGTCAGTAGAGGACGCTCACTCTGGTTTTATGTAACCTCTGTTCATACATCAGTAAACTACAACTATAAAATGAAAGAGAAAAAAATAACTTCATTCACTGGGCCGACTGCCGGCAACTTTTAAGGTGGAACGTTAACTTGTAATGTTACTCAATGCATGAGTTGATGACGTGAATCCATCAGCACACCTTAAATTTCACTGTGACAACTTTGACCATCACTTTAGTTTTTATATGACACACACTTTTAGTAATGACTTTAAAAATATAGATTAATTTGGAGCGGATTATGTGAAGGTCATATATTCTAATCCTCACTTCCTGTGGGCTACAGCAACACTAAACCCCTGAGCTTGCCTGAGAAGGACTAAATGCACAAAGCTGCTATTTTTAAATATCCCATGGAGAGAGACTCTCACTGCAGCCTGTTATATTTTGTTGTGAAAATGTGGGCGTGCAGCCTCGTACTGTGGACGATAAACCAGGTGCAGACTTCCATCTGTGTCACCGCTGATGAGGAAATACAGCGAGTGCTGGACGGAGCAGTGAGTGACAACAACCCCGCCCACATTTAAGAGGACTGTCTGAACAGACCGAGGGTCTAGGTACCATGTCTGAAGGCTTACTGCTGGTTCCAAAGGGACTGGACTGAAAGGGTTTGGTGGAGACGGGACTTAGGTAATGAAAACTGTAGTTAGCAGCCCCTCAGCAGCGAGCAGCGTTGGCAAAAACACAGATTTTTTTAACATGAAACTGTTTTATTTAGTGTTTTTTTTCAAGTTCTAATCAGCTGGTCTGTTTGTTTTAGAGAGGAGGAAACCTCTGTGGATAACTCAGCTCTCGGTAAAAACCTCCTGAGCAATGAACACCGAAGGAATTCTAACCAGGAGAAGTATCAGCTGGTTGCAATCTGCAGTCCTCACCACTAGATGCCACTAAATCCCCATAAATCTGACACACTGAACCTTTTAAGTGGCATTTCAATGCAGGACTTTAAAGTGTAATGAGTATTTTAACAGTTTGGTAAAAGCACTTTTACTTTACTTACTCCTGATGTTAGAGGAGTTTGGGTCATTATTGGAAATGCAGGACTGTCTGTTATTACGTTTTTCCCTGAACTTTAAACCAGCTAAAATTAGTGCTTATAATTACCACAGTTGCTCTCTCCATCACCAAGGTAACGACGAATCAGGTTCTCCGTCCAGAAGGGGTCGCACGCACACTCTTTTGTAATTGGATCACACTGACCACGGCCCGAACAGTGAAGCAGGCACACTGAAGGAAGACAGGACAGAAAGAGATGAAAGTAAGATGACATTTCATTTGTTTTAGAACTGTTTTTTAAAGAGAATCTTTAAGGATCTAGAGATTATTTTCTTAATTATTGATTTGGTTTACAAAACATTAGAAAACAGTGAGAAAATATAATATTATAATATAGAGCCCAAAAATGAATTCTTCACATCTTGTTTTGTCCAACCAACATTTCCAAACCCCCAAATGTTGAGTTTTCTGTCCTGTAAGACCAAAGACAGCAGAAAATAAAACACTTGAGAACCTGAAAATATTATATTTTTTGGCATTTTTACTGGAAAAAAAGTTTTAAATTATTAACTGATAATCAAAAATTTCTGTCGACTGAATAATTGATTAACTGATGGTTGCAGCTCTGCTGGAGTCTGCAGAATCTGATGTGTCTGAACTCACTGACGGTGTCGACTCTCAGGACTCTGAACAGCAGGTAGTCGCTCTTCTCTCTGAGCAGCTGGTTTCTCAACAGACCCACAAGCCTGGAGCCAGAGGTCGGCCCAGAGGGGCCCCGCACTGAGAACCGCAACACCGTGCTACACACACACACACACACACACACACACAGAAACTATTCAGACACATATTTTTGCATCTTTAAAGTATTTCTTGATGGTCGAATATATTTCCTGCATTTAAAACAGATTTCTCTGATTGTTTTTCTTCAGGTTGAGAAATGTTTTTGAAGAATGTTCCAGTAAATTATTTTCTATATAATAATATAAACACTTTTGTTTTATATTAGTCTGCAGCGTAATGTACATTCAGCATCCAACTCACAAACTGTTACAGAATCAGGATGTCAGGAAACTAGTCAGTCAGTCCTTATACCAGTTTGTGAACTGGTTGGTGAGTTAGTTAACCAGTCAGTCGGTCTGTATACCAGTTCACGAACTGGTCTGTGAGTCAGGAAACCAGTCAGTCAGTCAGTCAGTCCTTATACCAGTTTGTAAACTGGTCAGTGAGTCAGTGAACCAGTGTGTCTTGGTACCTGAGGTGTGAGTGTCCCTGCAGCGCTCGGACCTGGATGTCACTGTCGAGGACGTGGAGCAGAGCGGCGAGCTGTCTGACCACCGTGTCCCTCTGAGCCACGCTGACCTGAGACACCGACACCAGCATCTCCAGCTCCACCTCCTCCCCTCCACCCGGCTCTACGGAGACACAGCAGGGACACACTTCACTGTTATCACCGCACCTTCCTACTGGGACCAACGCTTGCTACATCAACATGGACTCAGATCCACGTTCGCCATGTGATGGGCACTAAGAGCATTTACCTGGCTGGACCTCCACGGTGGCTGTGGCGGTGCTGGAACGCCCCTGAGCGTCGGTGACCCTCAGCTGGAACAGGTAGGTGCCCTCGACCAGGTTGGCCAGGTACAGTGAGGCCTGAGTCTCAGAGCCGTACAGCACTTCCTGCAGGATCCAGGATTTAGTGTTTTAACAGGATTGAATCAGATCTAATTAGATCTCATCAGTGGTGTCGTGGAGGTTGATGAGGCAGATATCGTACTGAGTAGATGGGCAGGTTACAAAGGAGGAGGTGGGTGTACTCTCCTTTATATTCCAGTGGCTTTTTTTTTAAAAGAATTCTATCCTTTAATTTACTCCAGTCTAATCTGATCTAGTGTAATCCTCTCTGGTCTAATTCTTTTTGACTCTAATGTAATCTGATCTTCAGTATCAGATAGTTTGTACTGACCCCAGCAGCAGGACTCTGGCTGTCTCTGACCCACAGGTAGTGGACCTCGCTCTGGTCTCCGTCAGTCACGGAGCCCCGCAGGACCAGAGAGCTGTTGGGCAGAGAGAGAGTGTGGCTGCCGCTGGCGTGAGCGACAGGAGGAAGACTTTTGGCTGCAGGAGGAAGGACGACATAAAAAGGTCTGAATCATCAAAGAGGTCTGGTGACACTCCAGATCAGCTCTGGATTACGGGTTCTTTAGGGTTGTTAATAAACATTATTTTTATATAGATTGATTGTTTTGTCTATAAAATGTCAGCAAATATTAAACACATGAAGTGTACAGTAAACCCTCTCACCCTCCTGGACCCTGACGGTCAGTGAAGCGCTGTCTGTCGCCCCCTGCTGGTCAGAGACAGTCAGTCTGAAGGTGTAGCGTCCAACCCGAAGGCCTGTCGCTGTGGCCACTGCCTGGTCCGCTCCCTCCAGCTTTAACCCCGGGGGGCCACTGAAAACAACAAAGTGATGAAGAAACCACAGGTGAGTCTCTGAGGGAAGTATTAATCTTCAGAAACATCCTGAGTCCATGAGTCCTACCTGACTGCGTCCCAGTGGTATCTGATGACGCCATGGTCGTCAGTGCTTCCGCTGCCGTCCAGGGACAAGCTGCTCACTGGGAGAAGCAGCTTCCTGTCAGGACCCACGACAGCCACGGGGCGAAGGTTTGACCCCATGACCTCTGATACTGAATGAAAGGAGAGAGAACAGGACAGTGAATTTAATTAAGGTATGGTTTATTTCAGTGGTTCCAAACTTTCTCTATTCATCTGTACCAATTTCTGTCCATATGCTGCTGCTCTGTCAGTTTCTGTTTAAGTGCTTGTGGATGGATTCTTCTGCTGTGTTAAAGAAAAAAACTCCCATACATCTACATCAGCTAATCAACAGCGTAGATTATATTTCACATATTAGATTTCATTAAAATAATAAATATTTAACATTTTTAATAATATTTGTTTATATATTAATGTCACTAAAATAAATATAAGGAATACTTTTATTATGAAATTAATCCTAATGTAAGATATTTTACATTTAAGATATTTTTCGTATTTCTTTACTTAGAATATTCCCAAAAATAAATAAATAAAAAAAGGCGCACAGATTCCAGTAGTGACAGTGAGGCTACATGTTATCTGAACATCCACAGGTGCATTTATTCAGAGTTTACGCTGGTTTTTATTCTGCCTCACTCAAAATTAAGCAATCAGCCCGTACCTGTGAGGCAGCTAAATATTCTCAGTCACACTGTTTATGCTGTTGTATTATTTCCACACAAGTTTCAGATTTAACTGTAGAAAATGTGACACTACTGTGAACTGTGTGTCTGAGACAGTCTTGAGCAGCACTGGGGCTCCGCAGGGGACAGTACTGGTGCCATTCCTATTCACCCTGTACATGTCAGACTTTCAACACCACTCTGAGTCCTGCCATGTCCAGAAGTACTCAGACGACACTGTGATCATGGCGTGTATCTGCAGTGATGGTGAAGGCGAATATAGGTGAGGACCTTCACTTGCTGGAGTGGCATAAACCACCTCGTGCTGAACACCTCCAAGACCAAGGAGATGGTCATAGACCTCCGTAGGTCAAAGTCCACTCCGCTCCCGCCAGTCAGCATAGGGGGAGTGGACATTGAGGTGGAAGAGTCATACAGGTACCTGGGCGTCCACCTTGACAACAGGCTGGACTGGTCGACCAACTCTGATGCCCTCTTCAAGAAAGGTCAGAGTCGGCTCCACTTCCTTCGCAGGCTGCAGGCCTTTAACGTGTGCGGTGACATGCTGTACATGTTTTACAAGTCAGTGGTGGAGAGTGCTCTGCTGTATGCTGTAGTCTGCTGGGGAGGAAACCTGACGGACAGGAACAGGAAACGGTTGGATAAGCTCATCCGGAAAGCTGGCTCAGTGCTGGGCAGAAGCCTGGACTCGGTGGAAACTATGACCGAGAGATGCCTGAGGAGGAAGGTGCAGTGCATACTTGACTGTGTTAACTATCCCCTGCACTGGATCTTGGCTGGACAAAAAAGCAGCCGCAGCCGCAGCCGCAGTCTCCTGTCGCTGCGGTGCAGGACTGAGAGGTTCAGGACGTCCTTCATCCTGACAGCCATCAGATTTTTTAATGCCTGAGTTGGGGGAGGGAGCACATCTATCTATCTATCTATCTATCTATCTATCTACATCCATCAGCTGTTTGTTCTAAACATTAACACACTGCTGCACGTATCCTGGAGCAGCCCCACGTACTGAGAACAGGTCACTGTGTGTGTGGACTGCACATTTCAAAGTTTCCATTGTCGTACCGTTCACTTTACCCGACTCTGCGGCAGTCGTAGCAGAGGGTGTGGTCATGGTTGGAGGGTTGGTGCTGGGAGGTGAGGTGCTGGTGGGTTCAGAGTTCACGGCTCTGTCGGGGAGGTTTGTGGTGGTCAATGGAGCTTCAGCTGCTGACTGGAACATCTTTAGTGGGTCTGTGGGGCAACAAGAGAACACAAATAATTTCCTTATTAATGTGATAAACAGTAGAAAGTCTTATTTTTCAAGGCCCTTGACAATACTGTGCAATAATAATTCAACCGTGCATTTCTTTCTTGTTTAATTCTTACCTATTCTACTCTTAGTTTGTTTTTTATTTAACCTTTGTTTAACCAGAAAAAAACCTCTTGAGATTAAAGATATCTTTCTTGCAGAGTGTCCTGGCTGAGACAGGCAGTAACATAAAGTTACAGGCAGCAACATAAAACAAAAATACAAAATAAAAAATACCAGTACCAGTTGTGGGTTCAGGGGAAACTGAAGCATCAAGTGTAACTGTGGGCACCGTCCTCTCAACAGCGTTTCCAAGGGACACCGTCAGGGATCGATCTGCAGGTGAAGGAAGTGATAAATTTTCTGTTTTATTTCAGCTTGAAACTTTGGAGGGGAAAAAGATAAAACACTTATTTAACTTTAAAATGTGTGCAGTGCATGTGCTGCTTTCAGTCGGATGATACGACCACTGGTGGGCGCCAAATTCAGTATTTTTCAAATAATAATTCATAAATAATATTATAAATACACAGTTTTAAAAGTGGTTGTTAAACATCATACTTGCAGGTCTACCTGGCTGCATGGACGTGCTGATGGGCCTACGGGGCGCAGCTGGGGTGGAAGGAGAAGTCCTTATATGGTCGTGTTGGGTGGAGTCAGTTGTTGGTTTCTGTAGGAGTGATGGAGTCAGTGATGTTGACCCAGAGCTGCTTTGTGTTTTGGTCTGAAAAGAAAGACACGACAGTTTATTCACAGAGTGAGACGATCATTTGTCCTAAGCGCTTATCAACCTCAACCATTCACACTCACATTCACACCTACGGACAATTTAGAGTCACCAATTAACCTGCATGTCTTTGGACTGTGGGAGGAAGCTGGAGCACCTGGAGGAAACCCACGCTGACACAGGGAGAACCCTCTTTATGTCTGCAACTGTTTCCAGTCTAGCTGCATCCAGTTATTAAGCTAAGCTAGGCTAACCCCGTCCTGACTCCAGCTCCATACTGAACACAGATATCAGACTAATATCCATCTGAACACCTCACTGTTGGCGGTAAAGACAATAAAAACATACCAAAATGTTGAACTCTATCTTGCTCCCCTCCCTTGTAGTATGCTGTCATGATGAGCTCTTCACTGCTGCAGTGAGTAGTAATGAAATTAGCCTCATTAACCTGATTAACTCGATTCCTCACTGCTTTCTCTGCAGCAGTAGCAGGTTCAGTCGGTCTCTTGGTGTCATCCTGGTCTCCCTGACTGATGTTCCACCCAGAGGAGGCTCTATTCTGGGCCACACTGCTTCCTGTCAGCCCCGTCTCCGGACCATCCTCTGCCTCCGATTGGTTGAACCCGTCTCTTGCCTCCAAGGACAGCTGATCGGTCGTGGCCTCGGCCTCCAAGCCAGCCCCTCCCCTTTCCTCCTGGCTCCCCTCTGGATTAGAGCTGCAACAATTTATTGATTAGTCAAGTAATCTATTTGTCGATCGACAAAACAATAATTAGCAACTTTTGTAACCATCAAATAATCATAAAAGGTTATTGTTTTAAGCTACTATTTTAAATCAGCTGGTCTGTTTGTTTTGGAGAGGAAGAGACCTCTGTGGATAATTCAGCTCCTGAAAACCTCCTGAACATCTGCATCTCAAACTATCAGAGAAAAAGGACGAGCTCATGTTAGCAGGTGCTGGGCTAGCAGCCTGTCGATATGCTGAACAGCACAGGAGAAACGCCTATTTGTAACGTGAAACTGATTTATTCAGTGTTTTTACTGGTTTGTTTTGCAGAGGAAGAGACCTCTGTGGATAATTCAGCTCCTGGTAAAAACCTCCTGAACAATGAACACTGAAGGAATCCTAACCGGGAGAAGTTTCAGCTGGTTGCAATCTACAGTCCTCACCACTAGATGGCACTAAATCCCCCTAAATCCTACAAACTGTTCCTTTAAACATGAGAGTTTGATGCTTTTTGTCCTACATGATAATAAACTGAATAGTTTTGAACTGTTTGTCAGATCAAACTATTTAAAGATGTGGGCATGTGTCACTATTTTCTGACATTGTATTGAGAAAACGATCAAAATCAATTAATCCAGAAAATAAGAGGCAGATTAATCGATAATGAAAACAATCATTTGTTGCAGCCCTACTCTGAATACTCCACATCCAGCATGCCGGGGTCGGAGAAATCCTGCTGGGGCCCATCAAACAGAGCAAGGTCCTTCAGTGCCTCCAGGTCCCCAGGGGCCTCAGAGGACCGTGATGGGGGCCTCCAGCGGCCGCCGTATGGCTCTCCTCTCACCAAAGACTGCAGCACCAGCGTCTGCGGGGACGCTCTCCGCAGGAAGGCGAGGAAGGAGTCGGCCCCGGGTCTCTCTCGGGGCTGGCAGTTCTCCCTCTGCTGGCAGCTCAGGATGTAGCAGCGGCCCTCGAAGAGCCAGGCCAGGTCGTAACCCGGCAGGTCACAGCATGCCGCCACACACTGCTGCAGAGACGCCACTCCAGGCACCCGCAGGATACCGCTGCTCTCCACTGCTGGGGACACAACTGCCTCGGAGAAGGTCGCCCCCTGCCAGCACTGAGACGCCACTGCAGCTGCAACACAACACAGTACCCAGTTTATTTTATTAATGAGCATTTTTTCTTTTATATAGTTATTACTTCCTTTATCGAAGGTCAAATGATTAAAAAGTTGAAAAACCAAAAGGAAAACTTGTGATTTTGAGCTAAAAATAAAATCAAATCGAAATGAAATCTGTAAAGAAAAACAAACGCCAGGGGTTCTCCTGAAAATAATTTAAAAGTTGAAGATGAAATCCTGGAGACATCTATTGCACGTCTGTCCGTCCTGGAAGAGGGATCCCTCCTCAGTTGCTCTTCCTGAGCTTTCTACCGTTTTTGTTTCCCTGTTAAAGGGTGTTTTGGGGAGTTTTTCCTGATCAGCTGTGAGGGTCCTAAGGACAGAGGGATGTTGTATGCTGTAAAGCCCTGTGAGGCAAATTGTGATTTGTGATATTGGGCTTTATAAATAAAATTGAATTGAAATTGAATTAAATGAAATATCACTATTTTAAGCTCAGATTTGGTTATGTTTATTTCTGAGAGAAGCGTTTGTCCCACATAATGTGCTCAAGTACCACTGTATGTTTAAAAATTCAACCATTATATCTGCTGGTGTGATGTAAATTTGGCGATTTTTTTTTTAAAGATAATTTTTTTGGCCCCTTGCCTTCATTAGATAGGACAGTCCAGGTGTGAAGTGGGGAGAGAGAGAGAGGGTTAGGGTTAAGTTGGGATTAAAACTCAGCGCTCTGAAAAGAGCGTTCTGAGGGGCATGGGCTCTCCTGGACTGGCAGTGTGGGAATACTTAAAAATGTGGGGCAACGGGGGCGTCGTTATTTATTAAGGAAGCTCCTGTCTACCAGGGTCTCTGGAGAAATAACCTGGTGACTGTCGATGAGATTTATGGGATAAGTAAATAGATAAGTAGGTCCATGAATACATCAGTAAATAAATAAATCGATCATTAAGTATGTTTAATCATAAATCAGCTGACCTACGTAAAAGATCTTAGTGTGTTGAATTAAAGAAACTGATACAGTATAATGACGCATGTGTGGGGTTAAAATGTGATTATTTTTTTTTTTAAAAAGAATGCATTTGGAAGGAATGTTTTCTTTAAAAATCAGTGGTAAAATAAATACATAATACAGCCATTTAAAATTGTATGCCCCTCCCCTTAGCCAAAATAAAAGTGCTTAAAAAATTACTTGACATGCCTCCCCCTTTTTGCACCACCTCCTCCCCCCTCATAAATAATGAACAGTCCCTAAAGTGACCCCACATTGGCTATTCTGTTGTTCTTTACAGAGTTGGGAGCTTATATTGTGATATGTCGTCCCGTTTAGAGCAAAACTGTGTGTCTGGATCAGGATGACCAAAACTTATGTTGCTTTGAGAAAACACGGAAGTAGCATCAGTTAATCCTGTTCCTAAAAATAACAACACAAATATTAAAAACTTGAACAACTCAAATGTCAGACCAACATGAATGGTGAATGTTTTACCTTCCACACAGTGAAGCAGCAGCAGAAACGTTTTCTCCCACATGGTCGACCTGAAACAGACCCATCACAGCTTTACTGGAAACTGGACTCTTACTGGGAGAGAGCCAGAACATGCAGCCTGTATCATGCAAATCACTTTAATACCACATGGTGTGACATGAACACAATTTTAGCATTTTAAGTAAATGACAAATTGACTTGATTTCACTCATTACACACACACACACACATATATATATATATATATATATAGATATATATATTTTTGTGATCAAATATTTTTTTTTTGGAAATCTTGGAAACATGGGCAGTCATAAATTACATTTTACACCATTACACATATCTTAAAAACAAATATCATTAGTAATTTAATGTAACAGCACACTTCATGATCTAAAAAGTTATTTTCTGTGAACAGGAACAGTAACGTGTAACTGTAACTTTGCTCCTGAGCAGTTTCAGCACCACGTCGCCGGACAGCTCCACCGGGAGCCCCGCCCGCCCCGCAGACAACACTCTGCTCAAAATAAACGCACCTTCATCCCTCCCTGACACCGCAATAATCTGATATATGATAGTAACACCATATTGATTCATTTACATGAAAACACCGCACAACAGTCGCGTTTGTCTGCCTGGATGATGCGCAAATTCTTCTCCTTAAAAGACCCTCCGTCCAAACTCCATTGAAAATTCTATCAGTTAAAAATTTTCTTGCTCGTGGATAAAAATATACAACTGATGACATTTTAATAAAAGCTGTTTCTGTATCTGTGTATATCACTTTAAAATTCGGCCTACATTTATCATACTAAACAGCACGTCTTCCACTAAAACCTCCGCCTTTTTAATAAGTCTTCCTATAACGCCCATCACATAAACATTAGCTTTATATACAAGAGTTTCAATTGGGGTTGTATTGAAATCACCTTCAGCCAATATGGTGAGACATGTATTAATGCACGGTGCTCAAAAAGTGGCCACTAGTGATGGAAATCTTGTTTTAAATGATTTCTGTTTTCCGCATTTCAACTTGTTAGAAAACGTAATATTAGAGGATTTGTGAATGGACCCTGGTGTAGATAACGCAGGCTAGCAGTACAGTGTGATGATAATCTAAGCTAACGTCTCTCAACACTGAAATATTTCTGATGTTTATTCATTTTAAGGACAAAAGGCGACAGAGTGTCCGCAGCTACAACACATTAACCCCCCTCGTGTCGTCATTGTCAGTTTGGACGTTTAAACACCTGAGCGTCCGTGCTAAGAAACAAAACGTTAACGCACCTGGTTGCTGGCCCGCTTCCTCCCAGTTCTCCCAGTGGATCCTCACTGGTTCCCCAAGATGGACCCAGTCAGTCCTGGAGGTTACATACTGGAGTCTTACTGGGTGCGGTTTGATTGGTTACAGGCTGGTGTTTACGAGGAGGTGAATGTGTGTGTGGAGCTGCAGGGCCTGAACACATCCCTGACCGTGGACCATGAACATCACTGTGACAGGAGACACTGTCACACCTCATCCCAGCAGTGCACAGGGGATTTATCTGCGGACATTAATACTGTGGGCTACTTGAATACAAATTCGAGGTACTTGTACTTTACTTGAGTACTTTCATTTTATGATACTTGTACTCTAGTCAGGGGCGGATCATGAGACAGTGGGCCCCTGGACACAGATACACAAAGGGCCCCTCCACCTCTATGACACAGGAGCAAGACACAGACTTTGGTTTTACGTCTTTCTGTAGTCGTTATTCATCTTTATATGTTAGACAGATTAGAAAGCTGTATTATAGATTCTGTGTCTATATTATGATATTTCTTTTTTCTCATTTTCATTTTTTACAATCATACATGCTTAATAAGCTTCTTCTTTTTTTTTTTTTTCTTTTACAAATTCAGTATTTTCCTCACCCTGACACTTTGCCATTGCTCTGTTAGCTCTTTGTTTGAACAGCGTACTTTTCTGATGCAGGATAAGGCTGTTAAATAAAACTTGAATAATAATCTAAACATTTAAAATAACTTTATTTAGTGTTCTTCGCATAAATTAATGAATTAATGAATTCTGAGATATAGTATGTGTGTATATATGTATACATATTTATATACTGTACATATAAAACTGGCGGGTTCAAGTCCCTGTTCAGACCAAATATGGAGTATGGACTGGTAGCTGTAGAGGTGCCAGTTTGCCTCCTGGTCACTGCCGAGGTGCCCTTAAGTGAGACAACGAACCCCCAGCTGCTCGGAGCGCCTGTCCATGTGCAGCCCCCTCACTCTAACATCTCTCCATTTAATGCATGTATACGTGTGTGTATTTTGGGCCTGTGTGTGTATCACAACAGAGTGAAAACATTGAAGAAGAATATATATAATTATTCTTTTTTTAAAGTTGTGATTAGTATAAATAAACAGTTTTGAAAGTGCTTGTTAAAGATGACATCATACTTGCAGTCTACCTGGCTGCATGGACGTGCTGATGGGCCTATGGGGCGTGGCTGGGGTGGAAGGAGAAGTCCTTATATGGTCATGTTGGGTGGAGTCAGTTGTTGGTTTCTGTAGGAGTGATGGAGTCAGTGATGTTGACCCAGAGCTGCTTTGTGTTTTGGTCTGTAAAGAAAGACACGACAGTTCATTAACAGAGTGAGACGATCATTTATTTTCTGTAACGAATTTAACCTGTCAGGGATCACAGGGAGGCTGGAGCCTATCCCAGCTGAGACTGGGCGACCCCCGGGCTGGTGGGAGACAGACAACCATTCACACTCACATTCACACCATGGGCAATTTAGAGTCGGGCAGCATGGTGGTGTAGTGGTTAGCAGCGTTGCCCCACAGCAAGAGGGTTCCTGCGTTTTAAAACCTGGGGTGGGGGAGCCCTTCTGTGCAGAGTTTGCATGTTCTCCTTGTGTCAGCGTGGGTTTTCTCTGCGTGCTCCGGCTTCCTCCCACAGTCCAAAAACATATATATATATGTATATGTATATATGTATGCATATATATATATATATATATGTATTAAGTTTTTTTACACCCCTTAAAATCAAAAAAGCGAACCTTATTGGGGGTCGGGACCCCCAGATTTAAACCAGTGCTCTAGAATATATTTTAACACATTCCTGCCTTGCTCTACCATTTTAAACAGTTACATTGTACATGTTTTAAATAGTATTTTAGAAATGTTTTTATTGTATTTTATTTCTTTTATATATTTGTATTTCTTGTATGTGCATCAAAGAACCAAAGCAAACTTCTGTATGTGAAAACATTCTTCGTAAGAAACCGGATTCTGATTTGTGTTGATGTAAATAAATATAACGTTGTTATGTTAAACCTACTGAGTGAGTCATCTTCTTCATACACCATCTCTGCATTACCTCAAACTGACCAGCAGGAGCGCTAATGAGCTCTCCACTTCCGGTCTGACCCGGATTCATAACAACAGCTGGAAACGGCTAACAAGCTAACTAACCGACTCAGGCTGCTACTTTTGTTTATTATTCACGGTTACGGTCCGTTTACCGCAGCGGGGAGTTTCACCGGCGGCAGAACGGATCGATAGCTGGAGGCTGTCGTCACTAACGCACTGAGAGATGACATAAAGACGGTTACTGCGTTAGTTTGTTACCGTTAGCAGCCGTTAGCGGCATCACCTGAACCGCCCGCTGCTTGCTAACATTAGCCTGCTGCAACACACACACACACACACACACCGTCATCAACAACAACAGCGGACCTGTCAACATCAGCTGGTAACAATAAACACACGCTTTTGTAAAGGTTTTAACGTGGACGTTAACGTTTTGTTTTTGTGTTGCTAACGGTTAATTTCAAGTAGCTAACGTCGGTTAGCTAGCATGCTAATTTGGAGATGTTTGTGTTGCTGAATCATGTGACTGCCCCTCCAGCTGCACCAGTTAGCTGAGGTGGAGGATTACACCTATAGATGTTTTAAGATACATATCCGTGTTTGCTTTACATCTGCTTTTATGTCGGGCTGTTAAATCCAGAAGTTTGGTCACATTAAAGACACGATAAAGTTAATGATATGAAGCAGGGAGTGAAGGAAGCGATGGAGGCTTTAACCTGCTTCCTGATGGTGGAGTTTAACCTCTATTTAATGGTTAAATAGTAACTGTGTGGTCAAAATAAGCGGGCAGATCTGGCTGTTTTTGCACCTTATTAATAATCTTTGTTTTGCACTGTATGTATTTGGAGTTTTTCCCAATTTGTGTTGTAGCTGCTATACAACAATGTCCCTCAGGATAAATCAAGTTTTATCTTAGACAGCAGTGTTCTTCCTTTGCAGCAGTGTGAGCTTTAATTTTGTAGAATCTTTATCTTTTTCCCTGCACTGTTTGGCTGTGTGTTGTATCTCTGAAACTGAAACTCTTTTCCTCAAACACTAATGAGGGCCAGGACATGTTGGTTTGTCCAATAAATGTTCTCCATGTTTCTTCTTTTACTGGTTTATTCTGGTTGACACGGAGGCAGCTGTTAATGGTGGTTACTGTTTGTTGTTCTTGTTCTTGTTGTGACTTCACATCTGCTCGACACTAAAGCTCGTAACACCTAAAAGTATCTGGAGGTTGTATTAAGTATGGTCTCCTGAGTGGAGCCCAAATTTAGTTAGCTTCTAAAGCAGACAGGGAACAGAGGAAACAAAGCAGATACATATTCTTGCAGTTAAATCGTGATCTTTTTAAACTTATTTGTGTTGTAATGTTTCCACAGACGTTGAGGCGTGATGGGGAATCAGCTGGCGGGGATCGCCCCGTCACAGATCCTGTCTGTAGACAGCTACTTCTCAGATATCCATGACCATGAGTACGACAAGAGCCTGGGCAGCACCCGCTTCTTCAAGGTAGCCCGGGCCAAACACCGTGAGGGCCTGGTGGTGGTCAAAGTCTTCGCCATCCAGGACCCTTCGCTACCTCTGACCAGCTACAAACAGGAGCTGGAGGAGCTGAAGATCAGACTGCACTCCTGCCAGAACTGTTTGCCCTTTCAGAAAACCTCCCTGACAGAGAAAGCAGCCATCTTGTTCCGTCAGTACGTCCGGGACAACCTGTACGACCGCATCAGCACCCGACCCTTCCTCAACAACGTGGAAAAACGGTGGCTTGCCTTCCAGATCCTCAACGCCGTCGACCAGGCGCACAAAGCTGGCGTCCGCCACGGTGACATCAAGACTGAGAATGTGATGGTGACCAGCTGGAACTGGGTGCTGCTCACTGACTTTGCCAGCTTCAAGCCCACGTACCTACCAGAGGACAACCCCGCAGACTTCAACTACTTCTTCGACACGTCCAGGCGGAGAACGTGCTACATCGCACCAGAGAGGTTTGTGGATGGAAGCATGTTCACCACAGAGAGCGACCAGAATACACCGCTGGTGGATCTGACCAACAACAACCAGAGGAGCAGAGGGGAGCTCAAACAGGCCATGGACATCTTCTCTGCAGGTACACAGATATTTAAACATTATGATTCTGGATCAGGGTCAAATCAGGAGTAATCTAATATTTTTTCAAAGCATTCATCAGATTTTAGATGATAAATAAAACACCACAGCTAAAATCATGACCAGCACTCATCTGACTCACTGTGCTGTTCATATTAACCTCATGATTAGTTTTACTGCAGCTGCACAGAAGGTAATTTAAAGCTCAAGAACCATCTTAACGACGATCTAAATATGCACATTAAACTATTAGACATTGAGTTCACAGATTTTTACGGTTTTATGTAAGTGACCTAAAAGAGATTCAAATCGAATTGTAAATTATCAAATAAAATAGAAGAATTACTAATTTAAGTCTACTTCTGTTCAGTTTTTAACTGACAATTGATGCAAACTTGTGCTTAATGTATTTCTTTAATATAAATATATTTATTTTTCTTAAAAGTATCCCAAACTACTTGCTACTTTTTTTAAATGGGCTGATTTTATTTCACAGATCTACAATTCTATTTATTTAAATGATGGGCGATTTTGACTAAACTGTATGTTCTCATTTGAAATAATAATTTTCTTTCTAGTCTCTCATGAGTAAAGAAATATTTATTTATTTATTTATTTATTTAGGTTTTGCAGCCTCCTCAAACTCTCTATCAGGTGGACTTCCCCTGTTGATTTATCTAAAACTTGATTTTATGCTTTGAAAGATGATCAGCAGTCACATGAAATATAAAAGCATTTAATGGGCTATAGCATGAAAAACCAACAATTGGACTGCAGTGTGTATGCTTCTGTTTAAACCCACGCTGTCTTTGTGTTCGCAGGCTGTGTGATAGCTGAGCTGTTCACAGAGGGCGTCCCTCTCTTTGATCTGTCCCAGCTGCTGGCGTATCGTAAAGGACACTTCCAGACGGAGCATGTTCTCATGAAGATCGAGGACCGGAGCATCCGGGACCTGGTAATGATCACTCTCGGCTGATTGGCTGTCAGAAGTCAAGTCTGATTTGTTTATGCAGCCCACAG